GTCACACAATGTTGGCTGAGGTGGGTCCAGGCTGGAAAAAGGCCCGAGGTGGCCAGACTAAAACATGGCATCAATGTATGAAGTGTTTGGATGTTGGTTTGAGCCATGTAGGGTGATGCAGACTGGGTGGTTGGGGTCCATGGGACAAGAGGAACCAGTGGTCTGGCCTTAATCGCTGGTGGTAGCAGTCTGCAAGAAGGTGAAAAGTTGTCTTGTGATAACCACAGGGGGATTAACCTGAGGAACATATTATCTAATGTTCTAGGTTCTATAATCATTAGACGTCTAGGTAGGGCTTCGGAACAACAAAGCCGAGTAAACCAGGCAAGCCTCAGACCTCTCCATTCATATATTGACCAGATGTTCACCCTCCACCAGGTTCTGGACCACAAGCACAATTACCAACACCCAACAGAGGCGGTATTTCTTGACCTGAAGGTGCCTTTCGACTCCGTCGATCAAGAAATCTGTTAGTAGTGTATCTTACTGAACGGGGTGGCGAGTAGTACGCCACTCTGTTGAAGGCCCTATACCCAAAAGCTAATAGATATGTTAGAGCCTATGGCCAATTTTTAGATGAGTTTTGTACGTCGTGTGGTGTCGGTCAAGGATGTCTACTCTATCGATTCTTTTTCAATTTAATCGTAGATGTACTTATGGCAATCCCCTTGTAGCCGTCGTTTGACTTTGAAGTTGTTATTATCACAAGAGAAGGAAAAGTCTGACGAGATGTAGTCCTCTGAACACATTGAGTGGCAGTTTAAGAATGTTTGGGATGCGTTTTTTGCTACCCGAATGAACATTTTTGCTCCAAGACTGGTCTTCAGTGGTGCGCTATCTAACAGTATGGAGTGAAATGGTTGAGTGTGTTGACCACTTCGCTTACCTAGGAAGTCGGATCAGTCCTAACGGGTCAGCAACTGATGAAATCTCTGCACGGATACATAAGACCCAACTAGCTTTTGCCAACTGATGTTGTCTATTGCGCTTCCATGATGAGATGACTTACTAAGGGTCAAGTGTACTGCGCTGCAGTTTGCTCTATCCTACTGTATGAATGCGAAACAAGGTCATTAGAGACATAAGATATATGAGGAGGTTTCAGGTGTTTGACCACTTTCGCCTTCGTAGAACAGGCTATGTCGTGGTGTCACCACGTCACTGATGTAGAAGTCAGGCGTAGAGTATTAGGGAGGAGAGGGGATTTAGTTGATGAGAATGTGAATCTTCATCTACTCACATGGCTGGGAAATACGTGACGCCTGTTTATTACCGTTTGCCTCGTCACAATGTTAGCTAAAGCAGGTTTAGTCGCTGCAGGTCTATCTACTTATCCTTTGTCTTTTACTTTGGCTTCAGGACTCGATTTTCAAGCATTATCTTGGGTTTGAATTGCAGCCTCCTACTTTGGCCCAGGCGACTAAGTAGTGTATTGAGCCCTTACATAACATTTATCACCCAAAACCTAACCAATAAACATGTACCGGGTTGAGTTTCACGATTAGTTGGGTTAGTGAGTCCATCTTCAACATACCTCACATTGTGATTACATCACGCAAATAATGCTACAAAAGTGCCTAATATCGAAATCCTATGAATTCTGTTTTTGACAATCACGTTTCATTGCTGTGTAATATAATGAGGACTGCAGTGTAATATGCTTATCTTCTGACAGGTAGTCATGTATCCCACTTGCACCAAAAATGATGTAATTTGACAAATACGCAACAAGCTTTTCGTATCCTTGTTGAGATCCAGTCATCAACTAGCTCATTAAAGCTGATGCAACTTCCAAAGTAAGTGAAGCTGTTAACACGCTCCATCACCACTGTTATCCTTAAGCTAGCAGTCAGTATCATCTTACATTCAACAGTTACCAAGTGCATACTAAACATACTTAGGCGTTCGGAACTGCGCATTTTGTCAACTTTCTTGGATTGGATTCTCTGAATCATCTAGGTGCACCTATGGTAGTAAATCAATCTTTGAAAAATCAGAGGTACGTAGTCATATCAGTCAGTACGTTTATAACAAAGAATGGGGACTGTAAGCATCTCTGGAGGACTCCACTAGTTGTCATAATCTCAGTCAGTAACTCTTCGTGAGCCCGTAACACTTGTATGTGAATTCAAATAGTGTGTCAAGATTAAAATTAAATACTTGTTCAATACTTCCTTCAAGTCAAATGCTGCCACAACACCTCTCGATCGACAGAGCCGAATACCACCAAGTCAAGAAATATGGCAGCTGCAGAGTACCAGTTCTATGCATGTGCTCAAAAGTATCTGAGTGCAAAGACTTGATCAATACACTCTCGTAAAGTCTTGAAAGGTCTCTTCTTTTTTTCAAGTTTGTTTTCCAGTTGCAGTTTATAATCTCAAACACAGTGTTGGTGAAATTGATCCCTATGCGGTTGTCACAGATAGAATTCTCTCCTTCCTTATAAGGTGGCACAGTCAGCGATATAGACAAATCTGATAACACTATCCCCAATTCGTATGCAGAAATTAGTACCTTGTAGAACCATGGCTCACTGGTCTAAGCATTCGAATTCCAAACGATGAGTTATGGGTCTAAAACCAACCACACCTACCAAGGTCTGGACAGGTAGATAGTATCTTTAACCCTCACACAATAGATACGACTCGTTGCTTACTGTCCGAACCTGCACATGGCTGCTGAGTGGATTCGTCTGGAATTGAATTATTACCTTGGCTATCTATCAGATAAAGTCTTATGAACGGTTGAGGTGAAAGATCTCACCCGTCTCTGTTTTGAGGGAGAAGTTTATTTACTGAGTAGCTTCGTTGTGACATTAACTGAAATGATTTGGCGAAATGTGCGTGTTCTTATTGACGTTTTATTGTTAGTTTGCTAATCTGCAATCCCCAATAAAAACACTTTTTTTTGTATCTTGCAAAACTGAAATTGAAAATTCCGAAGGTTTTCCGGGTTAATGACTTTCGTTTCTTCGGTTTTATGTTCCTTTGCTAATCAACGTTTATTGGGTTTTGTTGTCAGATACCGAAGTTCTGGAAATATTCGACACTTTCCATTTTTTCATATTAGACTTGTTTAGGTGATATAGCGTTCAGTGCTGAAGTATTATTTACACCGGGCTTTATGGACGTTTAGTTCTGCACCTACACATTTACTGTGTTGAAATATAACTGACCGACAAAGTTACTTGAAATCGGAACATACTGAGGGTTTCTTCACACATATAAACTCAGCAGTAGGTGCAAACCAGTCCACCAACGAGGTAGGAAATGAACAAAGAGAATTAGCTTTGTTGGATACAAGGTAAAGCAAAGAACAGACGGTAGTTGAGACACTACCATCTATAGGAAAGCAACACATTCTAACAGGTATCTAGACTTCAGATCATCTCATCCAGTATTAGTCAAATATGTAAATAATAGAGTTAGAAAACTCATTAGTTAGTGGAAGGACTTAAGGAATTAAAACATCAAGCAAACACTACTAACCAATAACATTCCCCTGGGGTTTGTTAAGAAATTCGTAAGAACGCATAAAAAACGAAGTAATAACAGTAATACGAACACGAATAATAGCGGCGACACAAAGGAGTTTAAAGCCTTTAATATGTTACCATATAATGAAGGTGCATCAGAAACTACGTAGAGTTCTCAAGAAGGCTGGGATTAATGTAACCTTTAGATCTACAAACTCAGAGATAAAGTTTATCGGCCTACAGATCCGATAGGTTCAGTTGAACAAAATAATCTAATCTAGGAAGTTACTTGCAACGACTGCGAGGTAACGTAAGTCAAACTAGGCGATCAGTATCAGTCAGATTATCGGAACACAGGAATTTAGCTAAATATAGTGACATATTCTAGCAAGATCAATAATCTAGACAAACAACTGGGCCATTGCATTGCATTAATAGAGCCACACAATGTACTTAAGTCCAATACAGTTAGTTGGAGAGACTGACTACTGAATCTTTGTACATCGAACCAACACCCAACACATCTAATTAGAATGGCACAACACCTATGCCAGAGATATAGAAAATTTCACTAGCAATACAAACAAAGAATATGAGGTGATAGGATTATGAAAGTCAGATACTGAAAGATCTGTGATTATATTGACATGATTATGAGCAATAATTTATGCTCAAAACGTCATCAAGTGAATAATACTGCTCTATATCAAATAAACAAATCTAATTTGGAATTACGTTGCACAACAGCGCCCAAGTTTTAATTTCCATCCTTTCGTGGGCTACAAATATTCTACGCCAGCCTTTGGTACTGAATAGAAATTCTTTGTGCTTGGGATACTAGCTTATCACAACAAAACTTAAGGACTTTCCGAAAAGGTAGATGTTCTTATTGGTCTTGGTAAATGATGTGGGTGTAGTTTTGCTTTTAAAGCTATTACTGTTCAATTGAGAACATTTTAAAAATATCACCTTTCATGTTGGCAATAACAGACCTCCGTAATCGAAAGTTATCTTCCCCAGTCTCGATCATAGTTTATCACTAGTGTTCACTTCAACGATACAGCTGAATTCTTCCCACGCATTCATAGTTTCTTGATTTTCTACTTCAGTGAATTGAGAACAAAGCAAAGACGTATATACTTCTGCGAAATATGTACTCGAAGAAGTGTCTATGTTCATCTTTTTGATGGAAAAAAGATCTATGATATTATGAGCTGCGACAGTGGCTTAGCCACATTGTAAACAGCTGGTTGGCGAATTCAAACACTTTTCGTGGAAGTACCTTTGTGTGTCACACAGTATGTATGATTCGTAGCCCATCAAAAATGTTTGCGTTTAGCTAGTTGGTTGTATTAGGTTCATATTATATTGTTTTTCTGTGTCTGGTCATATTCGATGAAATGGAGCTGTTATCAGAAACCTTATTTTTTATTTTGAGAAATTTTCTGTGAAATACAAACTCTATACCTTATAAAGTAAGTAATACTGAGATTATACAAATGACGATCTGTTTGTTTTTTTTCAGTTTGCATGGATACTGAGGCATAAGTTAGCTTATGCAGTTATCGTGTTGTGCATCTAAATCTTCCAAATGTGAAATATTTCAAATCTTTCATTTATTGCAATGGAAAACAATTTAACTCAGCGCATCAATTCCTCAGATGACGTTTGGCAGCCACGTTGTAAATACCCAGTTACTTCATCTAGTACAGCAGTTGTGAATCATGATACAAACCTACAAAACGCTTCGAATGGTTCATTACTCCGCGGAATATCTTTGGAAACAGTGGGCGAGACAAATGTATTGACAAATCATGAGGAAGCTGCTGAAAATTTGGAGAAGACGAAAACTATGCGAATAGGTCTACGATCATTTTTGCGTAAAGCTGCCAGTTTGAAGGATTCGTGTTCTAGTCCAACTGTCGAATGCTCTGTAGTTTGCCTCGATGGGAAATGTTTTAGATTTAATGTACATGTAAGTTATACTGTTGATAAAGTCTTGACTTAAGGTTAGGGTCAATGAATAACAATCCGTTGACTACTACATATATTTCAGTGCATTCCGTATTTAGTTATTCTCTTGTTCGTTTGAGTACTAGATTTAGACTTTTTAGTTTAGATATCGTGTTTGATAGATTATGTATTTGAATGATGTTCTATGGGGATTAACAATGGGTGATAAGAGACAGATTTAGATTTGAACCTTTTAGGCATGCTTATATTGTTAAACTTGAAGGTTTTCGGAGCTTGGTTTGCAACATTTTGCTTGTTTTAATGATGGTTGGTAGCTAGCAGTCGAGTCCAGGATGCACAGGATCCCATATGCCAACCAACAACGGTATAATATAAAAACAATTATATTTTGTTTGTTTGTTTAGTGGCCTTGTTAAATTATGCTTTCATGGGTTAACTAGCATTCGTTTATTTATTATTTGCAAAAAAATTGATGTGATAAATCTGTAACCTATCGGTGTACATTTCAGATTGTTAAACCTTAGGCCATAGTTTCAAACCGAGCTGCGTATATTTGATCCTTTACAAGTGGGTAATACCACAAACCCTCATATAGTATTGTGTGAGAAGTTGATTTTACAAGATTGTGAACATGAAGCGTGAAGTATTATTCGGTTGAATCTCTCGCTATATATATATATATATATATATATATATATATATATATATATATATATATATATATATATATAATTATTGCAGTGACCTGGCAACAAATAAATAATGCTAATCAGCGCGAAATATATATTTAATTTTTCTTAATTCAGCGAACACTTGAAATCATACCTCATAATAATATTCAACAGATGCTCGTTTGACAGGTAGAATATGTGACAGCACAGCTGTGGAGTTCAGAAAGTTTTGCAATTCAAATGGTCTTCGTAACATGACCAGTTCAGGGATTGCTTAGAATTGTTACCGTCGTTATTGTTATTATTATTGTCATTACTATTATTACTATTACTAACTTTCATGCACTGACCAAAACGAATTTAAAGTCATTCTGTTTGACAGTGCGTTTATTGATGAATTTAGCGCAACTTGACATGGCACAGGTTTATGTACTGGTTGATGAGTCGCATAATGTGAAGGCTTATGATACTAATCACGTGGCAAGTTCAAAGTAAATAAAGTGAAATTTGAACTTGAGACTCATTTTTTTAAAGTTACGTGAATAACTCAGCTAGCTGTCAGTCACAGATTGGTAATTTCAACGTCCAAACTTTATACTAAATTGAGGTGGTTGTGGTTCACTGGTTTAGGGAGGTGACTCAACCAATTGGGTCACAGGTCCAAACACCGCTTCAGCTACCGAGGTTTGGGCAACCACGTAGCATTATCATCTTTCACACGTTGGGTGTGGCTCATTGCGTACCGCGTGAATGTCCACAAGGTAGCTGAGTAGATTTCGGTTTTTTTATTTATTACTAAATTGGACTACAGGCTCCATATGGCCAAACTGTGGAATCTTGGACCATGGATGTATGCTGGGTTTTTGAGATACGGATGCAGAACCCAAGTGTGAAAGTTCAGTCGACCTCACCTGGCCAGTGTGATGAATTCTCAAGATTCATTTCGCGAGTGTCCAGAGGTTTGCTGTCTACTTCTCGTGGAGTCATCGGTGTAGGTATAACACTAATTTCTGTAGGAAGTGCACTTCTGGCCAAAAGTTAGTATGAGCTGATGAGTTTTCGCAGCTTCATGCTGTTATTATCTTAATTTTTTTGCTAACCATTATTATTGGTAACATATTTGAAAAGGTTGTACAATGAGTAAACTTTGCAATATCACATACTAGGAATTCTTTACTGCAAGCAAAAGTATGGTTCGGAATAAAGCAAATATATTGTTGTTATTAAAGTAATTAATGTGAGAAGACTCTTCACCGCTGATTGTGATCACGATGAGAAACGAAGACACCTTTTACATAAACTAAGAGCTTTCGTAATGACTACGAGTGGTGGTGGATAACACAGGAGGAATACTTGTCGGAGGCATCAGCACTAGGTAATACGTAGCAGTTATTTAGACCTATTAAAGACTAGCATGGAAAAGGCGATGTTTGGTGACGCTGTCACCGAAAACGATGGGTCCTTAATACCGTTTTAAGATATGTAACTAGGCCGGTGGGTGGAACACTAAAAAGCAGTTCAACTTGACGAAAATCATCTAGGCATTCAGCTCCGCTCTGAATGGAATGTATATTTCAGTTTCCTAACCCTCCTCGAGGTGAAGAAGGCTGCCTCAAACCTGAAACGATATAAAGTGTTACTAACCAACACTTTACCACCAAAAGCTTTTACGGTTGCGAGTAGAAAATTATTTTGTAGAATAACTGAAAAAGAACTAGTATGTGTAAATTAAAGATATCTTTGTCAGGCTGGTCCAGATCACTAATCATTCAACTATAAAGTTTAATTCTTTCTTTAGCGTCCGCAAGGGAATCAGTTTGACTAACATGATATCTAACATCCTATGGTTGGAGGAGAAGCTGAGAGTGATCATATCATGAAGTAGCCACAATATATGAAGCCTGTGACTGTTGATGTGACCGATTCAGGATGATATAGGCAGTGTGGTGGTGTCCACTGGACGATAAAAATAAATTACTGGAGAATCTCTGTAATGTGGCTCAAAATTGGTCTCAATATTGTATATCTTTACACCCTTTATCATCCATATTTTGAGCATCTTGTTATCCTTCATTTAGGTATTCCTACTCCTATTATACATCTTGTCTGATTCGGTATAATTTTTTTTGCATCCACTTAGTCTTTCTGCAATGCTGTGAAGTATGGTAACTTGAGCTGACATGCTTGTGCGCGTATTTCGACTGTTGTTACTTATATTTTGTGTAAAAATGTGGTATGACTTCGATGCTATGAAACGCACTTAAAGTAAGGTGTACTTATTGAAATGAAGCCGGGAATAAACAAGATTGTAGCTCTTCATTTCTTTCTCGTATTCTAATTGAGTAATAAATTATTTTTATTTTACTAACAGAAGGTTGCTTATGGGCGTGAACTTTGGGAATTAGTTTGTCAATGCTTGGACATCGAAGATTCGCAGTATTTTGGTCTAGTTTACTATTTGAATCCTACTGCTAACAGAAACTCTGTTGTGGGAACATATCGAGCTGATGAATTTTCTAGTAACATTCATCAAGATGGTTCCGACAAGTTATTTCACCTGTCGTCGTCTTCAATTGATGAGCCTTATCCAGTTAGATTTTGTGGATGTTCTACGACAAACTCGTTTAATCCGTGCAAAGTTTACTCTTATGATACTACCTATCGTGGTTTTAATCCTTTTTTTATCGATGTTCCTGTAAGCTTTGTTTGAATTTTCGGGTGTAGGTATTTAATGTTGCCTATGAATTGTAACTGATACGGTTGTAATGTTCATGTTTAAAGTTGTCTATATTGAGGAATGGACTTGTTGCTACGGCTTTATTAGGGTTCTCGTTTTCCAAAATATACAATGAATTCACGGATGAACTAACGCTAATAAACAGCTGTTACAAATCGTTTCGGTGATGGTCTTTGATACGTTTTATGTTACCTGTCATTTAGAACTCAATTATATCTTTTAAAATTTTAAATTCTCTGATTTTCTTGGAAAATATGTTGACTGTGGATCTAAAGCAGTAGAAACCTCCATATTAGATGTTAGTTGGATGGAGGTAATCTTCAGGAAGCCCTGAACCTAGGTTTTGTGCTTGTTGGTACTCGTCAGCAAGGCATATCTGCAACCGCGACAAAACTGATATCCCGCCTGAGATTCGAATCTGCATCGCCCAGTGTTGTAGTCAACGGCGTTACCGCTGAGCTACTCGGGTCGCGACTGACTTCCTTTTGGACTGGATTAGATACGTTGATTGGTCACTGATTGGTCACCGATCATTTTGCAATGTGTCCACCAGACTACGCAGCTCGATAGAATTCGATCAGCATTAAGACTAGACAACATGAAGTTGGTTACTCTCCAGTGACCAATCAATACACCTCTATTAGACCTGAGTAGCCCTTTCCTAAGTGTCTGTCAACCTATTGGCTTAATTTTTTGGTCAAATGAAACTAAATATCTTTTGAGCTAATTAAGTTCTCTTCAGATAGCGGAAATAAATCGACTTACCTAAACATGATTTAAATTGTCGCTTCAATTACAGTCTTACTTACTGTAACGGATATGGCATATGATACCATTAGTTTGTTTGAAATATTTAGTTTTGGGTGTAACCGTAGCCAGGTGGACAGGATCCATAAGCAGACATGATCAATATAAGGCCTAATTACTGCGTAACGGTTTTATTTGCTACACCACACAAGGAGCACATTTAGGTGGATTTTATTGAATGTTCACATAAGAAATCCTTTGCTAGAAGTTTGCTGGATAAAAAATCAACATTTAGGCAGTATGAATTTTGATACCATTACTGAGTTTCGAATACGTGTCCACATTTCAACGTGTAGCCGAAATAAATTTCTGCCTCTTAAATGGGCACTTTGGATAGTATTGATTATTCGAAAACATTGAATATGTATTGGGAAGATAAGATACTATTTTCTATTGTATTCAAAATTATTGAAAAATAATGAATAATTGCGCAGATAATTGTTCACTTTTAGTAAATTAGTTGAAAAGTGAATAGGGACCATTATTATTTGTAAATTGTGTGGGTAATTTATAAAACGAAACTTAAGCTCATATATGAGACAATATGTTTGGGGTTGATGATCGACTTATTAAGTGACGTATTCTCATCAGTTGGAAAGAGGTTTAAAGCCATTAGTCAGTTGGATTGTATCGTTAACCGTTACAGTAAACATGTGTATTTCATGACTTATTTTTTGAACCTCTATATGTTTAGCCAGCTACACCAACTGATAAATTACTAGTATTGCATTGATTTGTACTGATTGAGTTTTCTGTTTAATTTAGTTCTGGCTAGACGTAGAAAAACGAATAACAGACCAATGTCATGGTAAGCAAATATATTACATTGTTAGTCCTTCAATGCTAAGCAAGATTTTTGTCAAGGTTATTTATTTTTCATTTATTGTTTATTTGTGATTTGACCGTTCTCTAGCATCAGTTTATTTCTCCTCTATGGGACAGTCAAAATCCAGAATCAGACAAACATTATGCTCATCAGAAAGCATAAATTCTAGACAATCTTGTCTTCAGGTATATTTTCGTCATTTTGCTGCTTGTGACAAGTCACAAAGTGCTAGTCATCAGACATCGAAAGTAAATTAGCATGTTGGTTTCTAGGGATAGTTTGTTATTCACAGGAGATCCGTCTGACGATGAAGTTGCTAATACCACTTGGCTATTTCATCTGATTAGTGAAATTATTTAGATCTTTTTGATTTGAATATAAGTCACCTTAATTCGTTACTGGGTGACTGATACTGGAATAAAAAATTGATCAAATGGGCAGTGTGAAATCTAGTGTGATACTGTAACTATATTTTCCATACATAGCCAAAAAGCATTCAGGGGGAGTTCTCCTAGTTATAGAAAATTAAAAGAAAGTAGAAGAAAAATGAGTGGGAGAGAGACTACAGAATTTTTATTTGAGTTCATTTGTTAAATATACCACGCGATGAAACAGTATTGTGAACTGGATAACATTCTCAATGTAGTTACTGGTTAGTAACAACCGGCACACAATAAACAGTGAGTTTGACGTCACACAGCTTGTAATTTTCAGTGACCGGCTCATATTGTGCAGGCCGAGAGCGATGGTTATTGTCTTCATGGATGAGTGTACTTTCTTCACTCGTTTAGCGTGTTTCTGCTGTAGCTAGTACAGGATGTGACGAAAGTTGATAACCGACCGTAGCCACCGTGTTCTCCACTCATCCCAGTTGATACAGGTTTATGATTGGTTTATTTGACCTACCTATCTAACTTGAAGCTGTATTTTACGCTCACTGTTGATATGGGTTTCTACAATTCGTCACCACACTTTTTAAAGGTGAGTTAGTGTAGTACTACCCAACCTACCGGTTCAAACTGCTCATCTCACCCAAGTATATATTACTAACATTTCGTTTAATCTTATGCTTACATGCAGTCACCACTGATTGCATACTGTGAGGAAGCTGTTCTGTATATTTCATTGAGCAGCAATATATATATATATATATATATATATATATATATATATATATATATATATATAGTATTTAAAGACTGTAATCCGTGAGGAAGATTTAACGTAAATAATGGAGGTTGAAACAATAATAGTGGTGGTGATAATTATAATGTTGCTAGTTGATGACGTAAAGGTCGAATGGTAACAAAAAGGGGTTACGTAAGATTTTCAAATAGTTTATAAAGTGCATATAGATTAAAAAGGGTGGTGAGAACGTTAGTTAACAATCAAAGGACTAGGTAATATAAGTGAGACAAGTTAATTGTTAAAAGATCAAATGAAATAACACCTGAAACAAATAAATACAAAAAACAGTGATAATGACGATATAAGAGTACCAAGATTAATCTGACAAATAAGGGGAAGGGGGTGAAAAACGAAAAAAGAGGACGAAGTGCACCAAGATTAAAATAAATTAAGGCCAAGGTAGCGACAAAGACTGTACAGGTTTCAGTTCATGGATAGCCAGGGCCTCTGTTATTTTTAGGAGCCGAACACGGAGGAAACATGAGGCGTTTGGGCGAATTCGACGGACAACCTTGAAATCCTTGTTTGGGTCGGCTGAATGGTTGGAATCAATGAAATGCTCAAGGATAGAATTTCTGATGCATTTCCTTTGACCCTTATAAAACCAGGCTGGAATATGTTCTAGTATACGTGTTGACAGCAATCTCTGACTACAGCTGATGTATCTTGCTCCACAGGAGCAGGTGAACTGGTAGATACACATGGATATGGCCCGTTTTTGTTGTCACAACGGGAATAATGAACCTTTTCATTTTGCAAAATATAACACCGGTGTTATGCTTTCAAGCCATGTGTATTCAGGGAACTACAAGTAACTAAGTGACTAGTTAAATGTAGAAACTTGCTGGAACCGAAATAATACTCAAATGATGCGTTAAAAGGAATCGGAATGAAGGATAATTGAAATTAGATAGCTTAATGTTAGTGTTCTAGTTACAAGGTGAAGTGTGAGCGCACCTCTACCACTAGAGTTGATTTCTACTTTTGGTATCTAGTCTCCTGCCACTGGACAGTATTATTCCGGTCGTCTCATTTGGCAAAGTCATATGTAGTCGTACGACTTAGACTAAAAGTCACTGCCTAGATTAGTACCGTGTGTCCCTGTAGTCATCTTGGTATTCATGTATCTCATATTTAGTTCAGTTAGCATTGCAGGTCGGAAAAGGCTGTGACTAAACAAATAGGCAGTTAGTTTGACTCTGTTGCTATCATTTAGATAATCAAAATGTTGTATGCAATTTAGCGAAACACAACTCATATTTTGCGTGTTTTCCAAGTAGTGGACGTAATCAACACTTATGCAACTCTTTCCCAATTTGTGAAGGTATTTTTCGACAATGGAAGGATGATAGTTCTTTAGGCCCATTAAAGTTACTTGAAGCATATGGGGTCAGTCTATTGAATTGAAACATTAGCTGTAGTATGCAGTGAGATATGACTCTCTCTGTGAAAACCAGGCGAGTTTCTGACCTATGTGTGATTGTATCAGTCGAATCTATACCTCTTATCAACTTATCGAGTACAGCCGTACTTTCTGCTGCCTAGTGTCGGCCATATTTTCCCACTAGGAATCCAGGTTTGGGACAGTGTGCAAATGAAATTAATACCAACCGAGAGTATTATTCTATTCAAGGCAATCTTACTAACTTCTATGTTTTTTTATCATTGTCCCTTATCCTGCTGAAATACAGGCTTTTTTAACATATTTTGCAACCTTTTTTGTTCCCTGCATTAGGTTTTTAAACTTGTGCGTTCTGTTCTGCTATCTTTCTATTTAAGACCTTTGTCATTCCTAAAATATTTTGCTCAAATTAGATTAGATTATCTCAAATACACTTTGGAGAATTTTAACATATCTTTACGTAACTCATGTCTTCTACGACTCATTCTGAAGACTGAATCTAGAACCTCATGTATTTTGACATCGGAGGTACTAATAACTCACACCTTCTCCTCTAAGCTCTTATTTTGTAGTAGCTGGGATAAAAAGTCATATTCTGTTACATAGGTGATGGAACCTCAGTGAATTTGAAAACATTACCATCCATAGTGTAGGAATATATGACGTTATGAAAAACGGTATTGGGTTGTATACCTATCTGGTGTGTAAATTTGATCATGCTTAGTAAATTATCGTTATTGTCACTCGTTAGTCTAGGTTTCCAACTTCAATGTTCATCCGCGAGATCGAACTCACTTCTGGTATTTTATTTTACCCGGTAGTGTTGTACAGCAACTTATAGAATGTGTAGTCTACAACGAAATCCACCGCATGGTCATTAGTGTGTCTTGATTTTCGACCCATCATGTCTTTAAATGGTATGGAAAATTTCATACCGTTTCTTAATTCAACAAATAAAATTCGGTCGTGTTTCTAAAAATTTATTGTCGGTCTCCATTTATATCACAAACTTTACTTCATTCTTCAGTAGAAGAAAAAAGCTAATTTCCATTGAACACTTCAAATATCTTTTTGTTATGCGGTGATAATTCCATTTTACCATAATTATTTTCATAATAGCTGCATGTCTATGCTGCATACTAGTGATTGACTTCGAATTTCAAATGCGATTTTTGCCTGACCCAATTTGCCTTTTTCTTTTTGCCCCTAATCCCTTTTATGTAAAAGTTCACCCTTAGAATATATCATCTCTATCTCTAATAACCTCATAAGTAAACAGTAAATATTTCTTTACTTCACATTTTAAAATGTCTAACACACATTTTAAGGTATACCTTTATATTTCTGTCTTAGTAAAGTACTAAGTTTGGAAGTTTTATTTGATACGTTAACATATTAGAAGGTGATTTTAAAGTTTGTATAGTCTTCAACTTGATCAAAGTGAAAAATTAAGAAATATTAAACTTCTTGTGTTCAGATGGTTGTATTAGTTAAGTCATGAAACCCTTTTGTCTTAAACAACTTAAGAGATTAAGCGGTCAAAAGAAGTTTTTGTGTGAAATACCAATATTCGCACTTGTATTATTTTTTGGTAGGGTCGTAGGTGTTGTTCTTTTTTTGGTATCCATTGAGAATTCACAACGGTTTCAGGTGTGACTGAATTGCTGTTTTCCTAGTGACCAACTTTGAAGTATGGATATGAATATGTATTCAGTTTTCATGTTCTATACAAGCAGAAGTTCCACTCTGCTTAGTCAGTCACTCAGTCAACATCCTTGTAGCACATTGCATCTCTGCGTAAAGGTCCGAATCGCTACACGTCATATCAGCATATCAAGGTTGGAAGCATACAGATTAAAGAAACAGAAATAGATGAAAAAATATTCAGCAGTTTTGGAAATTCATAAGAAAAGAGGAAGCTGGGGTAAGACAGTGGGGAAATTGAATATGATGATTAGGATGAACTTCACTGCAATCAATCACCAGCCATATCACGGAGAGTCTACAACTAGCGATTTCTTTTGTCATTTGAACCCCAGCCAGGAAGTCTACATTTCCGTAGGTGAATCCAACTAACATTGCGTGACAGTGTAGACGGTGATTAGATATGTGTAGCACATGTTCCAACCGTGTGAGTCGTATGAGGTTCACAACCCCATCGACTGACTTTCCTTTTCTTCGTTACTGACTTAGCACCACGACACACGACCTATGTTACAAAGTCAACAGTGATTGAACAACTGAAACCTATTCTCTATCTTTAGTGGCCATATTTCATAGCAATATAGTAGAACAGAACGAACTGCATTGCAGTACACTTGATCCTTGGTAAGAAATCTTATTTCACAGTGGCAAAAGCCAATTAGACCTTTTGTATCCATGCAGAGTTTCTATCGGTCACTGACCCACAACGACTGATCCGACTTCTGAAATAAGTGAAATCAACGCTCTAAACAACTTCACCTGACATACCAACGCACACTAATCCTGGATCAACACTTTGGATTTGAGTGACAAGAAACTCAGCTCAAACATTCTAAAATTGCCAGTCGAGGAATCCAGAAGACTCTTCATCTTGTTGGCATACTTACCTAATGGAACTGTACAATTTGCATACTCTAGGTCTACTAAGGAGTTTCATGTGACAGGATTAACCACTTAAAAGTCAGACGACTGCAACTTGGCCCTCGAAAATGTGTCTATGATGTAAAAAAGAATGGATAGGGTAGACATCCTTGACGTACACAATTCATCTTGAGCTCTAACACGCCCATGGGTATTCGACTACACGGGCTTCAACAAAGTTACGTACTTGTGTGTAGCTAACCCATCTGTGATAGACACTGGCATGATACCTCTTGATCGAGTGGATCAAATTCTGTCTTTAGGTCAGAAAATGGAGCTAGTATTTGAGCGTCTGGTTTTGCAAGAGCGGATGGAGGGTGAATATGTGGTGAAAACACCTATGACCAAGTCTGAAACCTTCATAGTTTCCCGGGTTTCGATTTTCCCCAGATTCACTCAAGCGTCTTATGAGTAGAGTGCTCAGGATCTTAAACACCTTTCATATTGTTTGAAGCTGTGGCTCATCGGTGTAGCGAGTTGACTTTGATCCATTCGGTCACCGGTCCAAACACCGCTCCACCTACTGAGGTTAGGGGAGCCTGGCAGTATCATTAGCACTCACTAGGTGCGACCCATTGCCTACTTCACGAATGTGTAGAGGATAACTGACTGAATTTTTCTTCTCCTTGAAGGGTGGAATAATCAGCGATTGGGACCAGTGAGTAGGGATGACATCCGCTTCCCATGCTGTTGCTTATAATTTATTTAGTTTTAATCGATAATTATCTATCCTCGTTTCCAACTACCTCTGGTACTAAACCCTAATTACCTGCAGGCTGTTCTTATTTTCATTCCTTTACAGCCATCTTAGCGTATGCACGTTTTACAGGGCCTATCTCAGTGTTCTTTTCATGACCCATTAATGTCCCGTCTCATTTGCAAACTCTCACACTCGTAAACGTCCAGATCATCGTTATTACGAACTTCCTGGAAGGTGAGTGCCCAGTCTGATTTAATCATTATATCCGTATATTTTTATGTAGTCCCAGCGTGGTCTGAATCACTGGTTATCCCAGTGTTCAAGAAAGGCGAGAAGTCCTCTTGTGATAACCACAGAGGAATCAGTCTGACGAACATAGTATCCAAAATCCTAGGTTCTATAATTCTTCGACGCCTGAGTGGAGCTCGGGAACAAGAAGCCTGAGAGAACCAGGCAGGCTTTAGACCTGGTCGTGGATGTATCGACCAAATATTCACACTGCGCCAGGTCCTGGAACATAGGCATGCTTACCGATGCCCGACAATAGCTGTATTTCTCAACTTGAAGGCGGCATTTGACTCCGTTGATCGAGAAGTCCTATGGCAATGTCTGACTGAGAGGTGTGCTGACTAAGTACATCACTTTATTGAAAGCTCTCTACTCGAACACTTGTGGGCATGTTAGAGCCTATGGCGAGTTGTCCAGGGAGCTATGCTCATCGAGTGGTGTCCATCAAGGATGCCCACTCTCTCCATTCTTATTTAGTTTTATCATCGATATACTTATGGAGGTTTCCCTCTCGTCACCTAATTACACAGACGTTGACCCGATCACAGGTGAATTTTCGTTAGATCTAGAATATGCAGATGACATAGTCCTGTTGGGTGAAGACGCTGACAAGATGCAGAGTCTTCTGAACAGTGAGTAGGAATTTGGGAATGTTTGGGATGCGGTTTTCACCGCCCAAATGCAAATTTTCGCTCCAGGACTGGTCTTCAGCGATACCGCGGCTAACAATAGAGAGTGAAGTGGTTGAGTGTGTCGACCACTTCACTTACCTGGGAGGTAGGATCAACCCTGATGGGTTAGTTGCCGATGAGATCTCTGCACGGATACAAAAGGCTCGATTGGCTTTTGCCAATTTGCGCCACCTATGGCGCCGCCGTGATATTTGATTGTCTATTAAGGGTGGCGTGTACTGCACAGCAGTCCGCTCTGTTCTACTGTATGGCTGCGAAACATGGCCATTCAAAGTGGAAGACATGCGAAGGCTGGGTGGAGGTGTTTGACCACCGTTGCCTTCGTAGTATAGGACGTGTTCCGTAGTATCACCGCGTAAGTAATGCAGAAGTCAGGTGTAGAGTTTTGGGGAGAAGAGGTAGGTCAGTTGACGGGGTTATGAACCTTCATCGACTGAGATGGTTGGGACACGTGTTACGTATATCCAGTCACCGATTGCCTCGTCACACAATGTTGGCTGAGGTGGGTCCAGGCTGGAAAAAGGCCCGAGGTGGCCAGACTAAAACATGGCATCAATGTATGAAGTGTTTGAATGTTGGTTTGAGCCATGTAGGGTGATGCAGACTGGGTGGTTGGGGTCCATGGGACAAGAGGAACCAGTGGTTAGATAGAGACTGTAGGTGATATGGCTGAGGACCGATGTCAGTGGCGCAGATGTATACACATATTATCCTCATCTTAACTACACTATACCGAATCTCACCATTTTGTCACTCCTCTTTCCTTTCCTCTCGTACTTTATATTTCTTTTTGACTGCATTCTCTTATCTTCATCCTTCACCTCACTACGTTTCTACTTGATGTACTGATATGAGGTGTGGGAACTCGGACCGTTACGCAGTAATGCCTGGTCTTATGTTGAGAAACGATGATGACAATGAGTCCCAGGGTGTTTCGAACGTCAAAAGAAGGGTTTTCTGGATGTTTTGTCTGCATAAACCACAGCTTCTTCAGTAGAGTACCCAAATATTTTATCAAAACATGTACTAAAGTAGTGCGTCAATTATTTAGTGTATTTAGGTCGTTGATTTTGTCATTTACTGTTTATAATGAGTAATTGTGATTGGTCATTACAAATTCTTATTTCTTATTATCATCTATCAACGAAAAATGTACTATTTGACTATAACTTTTTGTTTTAATAAAAAATTGTGAATATTTTGCTAAAGAAACTATGGTTTACACAGAGAAACATTCAAAAAATCTTGTGTTAATTTTCCAAACGCTAGGTTTATCTTACAATGTACTCTCATAACTGATATATAATGTACTTCACACTGTAACGAGTTCTTCTTTGAAGCTTGATGCTGGATGGAAATACACTTTAGGAAACAATAGTAATGGCTGATCAAGTATAATTGTGATAATCCACTTTGCTGAAGTGTTATTGTTCCTTTGTAAGGTAATGAGAGTTGGTTCTAGGCATATTCCTGTCACTTGACTAAGTAGTATATGTATTATTGGGTTCATTATAAAATGCTTCATTTTCAAGGGAGGTAGGTTTTCGAAAAGTTTCTCGATTAGTCGTGCACATAAATTATATATTTATCCTTTTTTTTTGTTTTCCTTAGGTTCGAAATTAACATTTTACTTTCAAGTGAAGTTTTATCCACAACATCCGGATCTTATACTTGAATGTCCTAAGTCTAGACGTCAGTTCTGTCTTCAGTTGAGACAACATTTATGCATAGGACGGTGAGTTGTTGTTATTTGAATGCTTTCTTGAATTTCACTTTTTCTGGATGCCTTTTTGCCATATTAGACATTACTGATGCCTTCCACTCTTCAGTGAGTCCGTGATGACCCACTTTTAACCCTCCTGTTATCTGCCATTGACTATTTATTGCTTGATAAGTAGGTTATAGTTACTTTATTTAAATAAAACACCTTTTTTATGCAATGACATATGTATAAATCTGAGTCATTGTGTCAGCAACTTTGTGTTCTGATAGCCAATTAGTTGAATTTTATAACAATCTTTATTCCTTCATGATTAGCTAACAACTGTCGAATTCCTGGCAAAATGCTTGTTTATCCTGCTGTCTATTTGATGCAGAAATCAACTTAATATTTTTGTTTGCAAGGTCATACACATTTCGCAATTCTAAACTGTGCTGCCCACAAATTATATTAGTATAAATTTTAGTGCTTTAAGTTTTGTCGTTTCAGTTTACTGGATTATTTTAATTTGTCCTTCATCAAAGGATTTGCATCAACAAAAGGACCATTACAAACCAGGTAGTGGCATGGGAAATTTGTGGCTTATAGTTTTGAGTACTTGGCTTCAAAACAGTCCCACTGGTTCGAACCCGCTCCACCTACCAAGGTTTGAGCAACCAGGTAGTATTATTGGCCTTCACACAATAAATATGGCTTATCACTTGCTGCGCGAACGTGCACGTGTTTGCTATGTGCTGTTCGATTTGATTTTTCGGTGTTAAAGTTTGATTGCTATTTCATCTTGTTTGAATTTCAGTAGTAATTAACGCAGCAACAATACTCAGTGACGTGCAGGTGTGTGCACTAGTCTATAAGTTGTATTCTTTGCGTTAGGGCTAGCGATACTACCGCCTGGTTCCTAGTCAGGTGCCTGAAATATGCACGGCACGGTGTGCACCAGTGACAGTCATATGTGATATTTTACGGACAAAAATTTACTGTTGAATATCTGTGAAACTGATGGGATAAATCTTGTTGAAAGTGTATCTTAGTTGGATTAGAAACAGTTTGTTGCTTTGATGAATTTGCATAATCTGATAAGAAGACGAACGTTATCTGAGAAATATCATGCATTTTCTTAACACATTTCGAACAGTCTGGTCACGCATTTATTTGTCAAGGCATTTTTATTTGAAAGATAAATCTAGGATGGGTGGGGTAAGGCAAATAAAAAAATAATACAAAGTTTTTTAAAATATAATGATAATAAGGAGGAATACTACTTTTCACACCTCTGTCGGTACTAAAATGAAATAACGATTGCTGAGGGAGGTTCAAGTTAAGAGCGAATTGTTTTTGAATACACGAAGAAGGTTTAAACTTTCATATAACTGAGTATATGGTGTTGACGAACTTCTATGTAGTGATCCAACGGCTATTCTGCAGTCTGTCCTGTGACCTGTTTCTGTAATGTGTGTTCACCTACAGGTGAGATCGTCCCTCTGCCCTCTGGATTTTGTTTTAATAAAGGGTATTTATGCGAATGTAACTTATATCTAGTGTCAAATTGAATTGGAATTTAAAAGTCTGGACATCTTAATTTACAACCTTCATAGCAGTGTGATTGACATTGCTAAGAGTTAATTGTTTGATCTTTTGAACAATAATATAGCATTCAAAGTTATACAAGTTAGTCTTCTCAGTCAGCTGTAAAACTTCGGAACATACAGTCTGAAATTGTTTTTCAACTCACTGAAGAGGTAAGTAATTATATGATAAGGAAAATCTACACATTATGTGTTATCTGATCAAATTTGTTAGGTTCTGAGTATCTGTTCAGCATAGCAAAATTCTGTAATTAGTGTTTATGTTTGTGTGTACGTTTACTTTACTACAAGAACCATTTCTCTCTGGTTTTTCAGTTGGCCATTCCCTACTGATCTAGTCAAGTGTTTGATTTTCGCTTACTACATGCTTTTATGAGATCCAAGATTATAAATCTTTGGTGAACAATTAAAGCTTAAAACCATTTGATTAGATGATATTATCACCCTCATTGGAATTTTGATATGCTTTAGTATAAAATATTTTATAATCGTTGAATGTATTCAATTATTCATTGGATGTTTAAGTACTTGTTAACATGATATGATGTTTTTTAGGCCCGATGAGTGTTGAGTACTGTTAAAGAAACCCAGGTTAATTAATAGAACAATAGTTTTTGGCCAACTTGTAAGCGGATATCTACATTTCTGTTAATTAAAATACGCCGAAACAGTTGTCCAAACATCCGAGATTTCATTAGTTTTCATTAATTTTTCACCTTATGCTAACTCTGGAATAAGGTAACTTTCAGGTTTCTGAGGAGTCTCCAACCTATTGACAGCATATTTCTCTTCTGTTATAATTTTCTTCTAAACTTGTGGCTTTTTAGGCATTCGACTGGCGTCTTTACCTTATTATCTTTGCTTTTTTTCCTTCCCACTGCAGACTTTTATGCTCCTTTGAAACTCATGTAATATTGGGAGCATTAATAGCTCAAATGGATTTGGGCGATGCCGCAAAGTATCGACGTCCTCGTAGCAGTCATTTGAGTTATCGTTCAACAGAGTGTGCTGAATCAACATCTCATAGTTTTTCACAACAACGATCAGTTTCACTAACTCATAGTTTTTCATCCGAACGTAGGTGTAGTTTAGCCGAACCTGAGCATAGTGATGACAGTATTATATGGGATACACGCACAGGTGATAAAAAGAATGAAGGTAAAAACTATCCATCTCCTGATGTGAACAAAAGATATATACTAGGCCACATTGGTTGTAACTGTTCAACTTCGCAGACCGACAGTATTAGTATGATTTACCTACAGTGTTTACCGCATTTAGCTCGTGGGTCTGTTGCCTCATCATCTATGCGACGTAGTTCAAACAATATTATGGATGGCAGTAGACCAAGTCTTTCTTCTTCTACAATGAACAATGATATTGATGATACACTATTATCTCCGTTGAAACATAATCTTAGTCCTGGGTGGCCTTATCCAAAGTCGGATTGTCGTTATTGTCCTGTGTTGCTTTCACGTATTACTCGATTGCATCGAAATTTTAGGTAAGTAAAAGTTATATTGACGTATATATGTATTTGAGTTTAGCTTTTTAATAATATAGTTTAAAAATCCAGACCTATCATTGTAACTGGTGTCTTTTACTGCGGAATGTTATGATTACTAAACCTAGTTTTGTAAGGACTTGAAAATCTGAGCTGATAAGGAGTAATAAATTAGGGTATAACAACTATTCATGTCTCTATAAATTATAGTAGTGGGTATTCTTCTACCCTTAGTTCCAAATACAAGGTACTTATTTACAATGCATTGAAGGTACTTGTTAGATGGGTTTTAAAAGTTCTGACCTCTGTATTTGTTGGTATATTTTTCAGTTAACTGAATGCTTTTGCGATGAGAAGGTGCTTGCCTAGTCTGGGATTTACAGCAGTAAGGATCGTGATCATTATGGTAAGACCACCGTTCTTTGGTTGGGACTATTGGTCGGCGTATTGCAGCCTCCGTATTCCATTGTATTCAGAAGTCGGCTACTATCCAAATTCACGTAAATTGGTTCAGGATTTCAAATTAGTCAGTACTACAATATGTTATTGAAGATGTGACTGTACTATAATGTGTTATGCGTAGATGTGGCTGATTGGTTTGGAGAGTTGAATTTCAACTAATGGATCACGGTTTCAAACACCTCTCCACCTACTAAGGTTTGATAACCCTCACATAATAGATGTGGCTCATCGCCTACTGCACGAATGTGCATAAGGTTGTTGATTGGGTTTCGATCCATTTAGATAGTATGTTATGATTCTGTTTTCCGAAAATCATTCTCAACCACTTGGGTTTTTCCTACTACGTATATCATTTTCTAATGTTTTGTACGAAATGTACAGGATAGCAACTACTTAAAATGACTAGTCTGTCTTTTGAAAGAATGTAAAAATTTTGTATTAGGGTTTTGATTCAGGGGATATTGATTTTTGTTGCAAATCCAGGTCTCAGGAACTAACAAAATATCAAGACTATTTTAAAATTTTAAAACTCATGTTTGTTGTTTTATGTGGTCAGCTAGTTGCTTGTCTCCATGCTTTTTCTTTCGGTCGGCTATGATTTGTTATCTTACGTTGTTTCGTTAAATCTGTTTGGAAACCGGCAATTTATTGTTTTCTGCGACCACCACTTCCTTACAAATGACTGTCTAAGTACATACCAGAATTCCTACTGAATGCATTGATATGTTTTTGATTGTTAGTTTGTATGTTACCCTTCACATTATCATGGAGTAAGCATTAAGTGAGGACTTTATTCGTACCTAAAATTAAAATTCTTGCGGTATCCAGATGATATCTGGATATTATTATAGGTTACCTTTCAGTTCTGGCGATAGTGTTTTCATTAAGTGCAGACTTCATCGTGCTGGACTAGATAAATCTCCTCATTTTCTTTCATATTGTTGTTGCTTGCTTTCTGTTTGCATATTACATGCACTACAGACATGCTAAGAACAGGCGTTTTTTTTCTTGACTCCATCAATTGCGTCTTAAGCTCTGTTCACATTTTCTGCCACCCTACTTTACTTCACTGTTTTGCACGCTGATAGTGAGCTTCGAATAGGACATTTTCTTTCTTTATATTCCTTTCATGAGGATTGCAGTGATGGTTTACTTTATGTATATTCGTTGAACGGTTCTTCTTAAGGAAGCTGAAAGAAAAAGATCTGTATGACCCTAGAACCCATGGGGCATCCATTTGAGGTCTGTCACAGCTTTATGAGGATTGTTGGTATGAGATTTGATTGTCCTTACACCGTATAGAGAAATCCCATATCCGCCAGGACCGGAAGACCGTGGGGTAGGGAAGAGTGTGTTACTTTCAAGGCCGATCTTTTGTAACCCTCACTTCCCGTAGGGAAGATAGCGTCAGCGTGGCACTGCTGGTCATTCATGGGAAACACTTTGTTCCTTTCAAGTCCCTGTTCAGTCATCAGTATGACTTCTCCCTCGGACCTCTATCATACTGTAGCAATTTACACCATAATAATAACTCTTTTTTGTCTAAACACAATGCAGCATACCTTTCTGGTATGGTAGGACCTTGAGAGAACAAATGTTCCAGCTGCTGTAGCTCGTTGGACCATTTTGATATGCAGGCCTGACCACCACATCAAGGTAGCAACTATCAGTCGGGTTGAACGGTTCTACCTTAACTTGTTTCCATATAGGTTTCCTGAAGTTCTCAATGTTATTCGTTAGCGAACCTTACGGTTTTGGAGGCACTCACTGAATGTCAACTAACTATTCTACTAATTCTACACAATTTGCTCATCGACTTCCTGAAAACTTGGTGGCTAATTTACTTGGTGTTACTGGTTTAGGTATAGCATTAAGTTCTAAGGCGGAAAGTTCAGTTCTCGACTGGACTCCACCGGAAAATTTATATGTGCACTGTGTAACTAAACGTTACAGCGAGGGCTGAAAGGAATAGTAAAACTTCCCGTTGTCTCTTTGCAATCTCAGTTTACGCACCCACTGGCTGCAGTCTGGATAAAGTGAAGGATGAGTTCTACCTAAAACTGTCCACCCTCCTACTGGGAGCAAAGCGTCTATGTTTTATTGTTGTGGCTGGTGATTTCAATGCCCAAGTGGGTAGGCTAAGTAAGGGTCTTGGTTGGAACTTTTAAAATCCCAGCCAAATGAACAGATAGTGGCTATCACCTGATGTAACTGTACCTAAAATAACCATTTATTTCTGACCAGCACGAACTTGAGACACAGAGACGTTATTCGATATGGTGTCAGCCGATTTCAACTCCACACTGGACATAGACCACATTATTGTCAGTTATCATTGGTGAGAGTTGATGGAAGATTGCAGCCCCTTCTGGAGCATGTGTTTAGAAAGCGGCCACGCATTGGTTCGAGTGCGTGTATGTTTGCGCGTAAATGGGCGTAGAAAAACTAGCAACGAGATCATTGCAAGTGCAGCTCAACGATGAGGGTACTGAGGCTGCTTCCGGTAAGAAGCTGGCTAGATAGTTATCAGTAGGGAAGAAGTCTGACTCCGTCTGCAGTCTTCTGTAAAGGCGAGATTACAGACTGTAACTTGCCAGCAGAAATAGGTGAGAAAGGTCGGTGGATCTTAAAAATGTTTTCTGAAATAATAGATCCACGCGAACGCCTAGTTGCATGATCTCTTGGATCCCATCCAAGGATTCCTGAGGCACATACATATGCTAATCCAACACAGCTCTACCCCGTCATTCACTGAAGTCCTCCTCCTCCAAGTGCGAATAAACAGTGAATAATAAGAGAGCCACTGAAACGATATTCGTGACAAATGTCCAAGCCACCGAAGCCGGTGTTTCACAATGAGATCACTCAATCAATGATTATCTCCATTAAACGCAAACACATATTTTCTGTCTTCAAAAGTACTCATAAGGGTTTTCACCCGATGCAAGTAATCCTACAGAAATCAAGGTGACCGAATACACGCAGTTGTTAAATATATTCATTTCGGATAGGCCATGTTTCACTGGCATGAAACAACCGCTTGGACTCTGTTGGTACACTGAAGAACAATTTATGTCGCTTTTTCTTGTTCTACTTACCAGCCGGATTTTGTACATTGTGGTCTACAAACTGCTGTTTGGTTTTGAGTGGTTGGAAGTGATTCTTGGCACGCAAACTTCGTCCTGGTCTACATTGATCAGCAAGGTCTACCTGCCATCTCAAGGTTATAGGTGTTACTTCAGATATCTGAACAACTACCGCTTATTTCTGTGGTTAGGGATGTTACTTCTGAGGTATTCGTAGCCTCAGTTCGTCCATCGCTTATGAGTAAACAATATTATATCAATTAATCTTCAGCAAATAATCAGTATATTTAATTCAGTCTTATGCGATTGCAGTTGCGGTCAGTTCGTACCTATCTGCAGTCCTTTTTCACCCTATAAGTGAAGTGGACTGAAATATAACCACATGCAGTATCTTTAACAGTTATGCACCATGCTTAGGAGTATTCGGAAACTGTCACTCGAATTCTGGATCTATGAAGTAACCTATCGACTTTTGATCAGGGAACATCGCCATTCTGAGATAATTATAAGAATACCTGTTACCTTTAATTTGGCCAAGGATGGAAACTAACTTAATATCCTATCACGTATATTTGGAAACTTGGTTTCTTCTTTTTCATTGTCATCTAGTTACACTTAAATATCGGATGAATATGGAGACTGTCAAACTTGGAAACTATCGTTCATCATAGGTGTCCAAACCAAGTTGTGATCTGATGGTTTGAGGGAAATAACCTTTTGTTTTTCATTCTTTGGGACATAGAAATACCAATATAATAAATATTATTACTCTCGTCACAAAAAAATCTATTATTTCATGTGAATTGGAGTTTTTCACTAGCCACAATTACTTTGAAGTTTTTATCTGTTGAAAAAATTCGAAATGGCTATATTGGGCATTTATAAAATGGATTTAATAATAATAATAGTAATAATAATAATAATGGTTTGGATTGTTTTAAGTGTGACGAATGAAACTGCTGCACCATCGGACTAGCCTTTCTTCAATGCCTATCTGTTTATCAAGAGGGCATGCCTCAAAACCACCGTTTCTTGCTAAACCTTTGCTTACAGTTTATGATTTCGATTATTTATTTTCTGCATTTTCTACAATGAATAAATTCAAAATGATTTAGTTGTTCATGTCATTGAATGATTCGATGATTTGTTTAACCAGTTTGTCTATTCATAAGAATTTGTGGTAGATTTTGATTTTCATATTGATCCAAACAAAATAAATTTAACTTCTAGTATTTTGAAACAATTTAAAATGCACTTTTGGGTACATCTCCCTGTCACTAAAGTGTACACATTACATTCCCTTATCCTTTTAGCTGTATGTAGTTGTTTATTTTATTTTAGTGACCTCTTGTTTGAAACTACTCAATTCCTACTCGTATTGTTTTTATCTTTATTTCTTAGAGGTATGCTGCAAGAGGATGCTGAAAAGTTGTTTTTAAAAAATGTGAAAAAGTTGGCGTTTTATGGCGTTGAATTACATCCTATCAAGGTAGTTTTTACTGGTCTTGATTTACTTTGTTTATCCTACTCTTGTCTTTTAAGCGAGTCGAGTTAGTGATTCCTTAGAGTTATATTCTCTTTGATGTTATTTGATAGTGACTAGTGTTTGTTGTCAGTGCAGTTTTAGCTACGTCAACTTATTGAAAGACGATAGTTGAAGTTTGTAGCTGGCACACATAACTTTAATTCATCGTTTAGTGACTGTTTTAAAGCTTGTCTACTAAAGTGTAAGCAGCTTTCATCATCTGATGACTGACTACGCTACTCACTTTCCCAAACCGATGTCCGAAAAATAAGTTTAAACCTAAAGAGTATTAAATTATAAACATCCAGGCCATAGTTGTTATGAACGTCCTGAAAGTCTTAAGGTTTTAATATAATCCCAGCGTGTTTAAAAAATCGAAAACAAGATTTTCCTGAACGTTTCGCTGTGTGTGCCACAGCTTCTTCAGCAGAGTATTCAGATGTATTGAAGAGTATTAGTTCAGAGATCCGTGGTTGAACTGTTTAGTTAGGTCTGTACATTTCGAATTGTTTACACCAGTCTTCCAGTTTTAAAGTAAACATTATTATAATTTTCTTTCCGTTCTATTTCTAATCGATGCTTCCATTAACGTAGCTATAGGATAATATGAAAAAACTGCCAGTCTTAAGTAATGCCATTTTTGTACTTTTATTTATTTGACTCCTTGTATTCTTCGTGTCATTTACATTTTTTCCTGGGGATCCACGTGATGTTGAGAGATTTGTCTAGTTGGCCTTGACTGTTTGAATTTACTAACCTGTTGATTTATTATTAGGGCATAAAAACTTAGTAACCAAACGGTTCACTAATTTACTAACTTCCGTTTACCCTTGGTTAATTGTAGTGTTTTCAAATTTGCACTACTTTCTCAGCAGGGAAACTAAATTCACCACAGCATTTACTAGCTGCCTGGGACATATGTTATGCATTCCTGGTTACTATCTGCCTCATTGCAAAAGATTAGCTGAAGTTGGCCTAGTGGAATATGGCTAGAGGTGACCAGAATAAAGCATGGCATCAATCCATATGAGCCCTTCCCGGTCGCGGTCCGCGTGACAGCGAGAACCAGTAGCTGGAGACTACGTGCCATGACTCAGAATCGATCTCAGTGGCGTTTATCTATGCACACTTTCCTCATTTTATTCTTCATGCGTAATTCAGTATTTTCTTATTCCCTCTTCCTCTCTTTTACAACTTTTTACTGCTTTTGACTGGTGCTTCTTTATTTCTTCATCTTTCATCTTTCACTGCCTTCTTGCTTGATGGGCTGGTGTCAACTATGTCATCTTGGACTGGTATGGAGTAATGTTAGGTCTTATGTCGATAATGTTTATATCTACCGCATAGCAATTTTGAAAACTTGTGTGTAGCGTATAAGAGATTCTATAAACAAGATTTATTCATTTGGGTACAAGCTTCTTAAAGTTCAATGAATAAATTAGATGTGAATAGTTGTTATGGAATGTGTTAAAAGTCAACTGACTCTAACTTTGGAGGTGCGTTTCAAGCTGTTTGGTAACCATGAAGAAAGTGATGTTTCCTCTAGAAAATTCAATAATTGAAGCAAAACTGTAAACCTGTTGAGATTTCATTCAGCAAGAAAGTATAATACACATGTGTTTCTGAACACCATTTTACATAGGCTTCTTAAATTTGATGTTGGAAAACGCTGTATAACAAACCCTAAACATCGACCTAATTCTTGTATTTGATTATCAATTATGTTTATCTGTAACTTCCAAAAAGCACAATTACTCTTTATCGAAGCTTACTATCTACTAAGCGGATAAATATAGTTAACCAGTTTTTTATAGTTACCGTAATCGTAAAATTACAAGAACTTTGTGGATGTTATTCTATTTTTTTATTTCACGGTATGAATGAATTGGAAGTTGTTTGAACTCTGTATACATATATTTAATTTCAAATCCATGTCAATCTATTCCTTGAGGCAACTCAAAAGAAGATATGATGAACTGAAGATAATTTAGATCCTATAAGATTGAGATTTCTCTGTTTTACTTCAAAGGCAAAGTTGATTCCACCGTTATACTTGTATTAATGTTTCAGATTTTATTCGGGAGAAATACAACTAGCATCGTATTAGCAGCGTTAACACGAAGTTGTGGTTCGTTAGCCGTGGCGGTTGACTTTTAACCAATGAGTCGTGAGTTTGAACCTTGCTCCACTTACTAAGGTGTAGTCAGCCAGGTAGTAGCATTGGTCTTCATAAAATAGGTTTAGCTGAGGACATTTCGATTCGATTTCGCATTAGCATGTCAGAATTGGTCGATTAATGGGTATTGAAATAGTACGTTGGTAAACAAGTAAGGTACAAATTGGACTTATTTTCAATCTGTCGCATTTTCTTCACATAGCATTTGGAAATATTACCGTACTTTTTTAATTTTAGAAATTTCACGCTAGCTACATTTCATCTAGCTACTTCAAGAGTATGACTAAAAAATTGGTTCGCTCATTCTCTGATCGTTCTGGAACTACTCGTACTGAATCTTATCATAACTTTACGGATGATTATTCAATGAATGGTTCCATTCAAACACTGAACTCCAGCAGATTACGTAAATCACTATTGAGATCCAGTTTAAAATCATCTATACGGCGAATTTTCACTATTCAACCTGAAGGTTTGTTGACATCTTATGCTTCCGAACACTTTTTTGCAGTTAAATTATATAGATGATATTCGTTTGGTAAGATTTATGATATTAAGAAATTATTCATTATTTCGATGAATCGATGTTTGAAAATTTATCTTTATTTTGCCTAAGCAAATGCATTAACCTCTCAGTTGTGATTGTAATACAGGCTTTCTTTTTACTTTTGTTTAAATTATTCTAGGTCCGGCTCTTTTTCCGTTTGCATTTACTGATTTTCCAAATTTTGATTTCTCTTTGGGAGTATATTATGCGGGTTTGTTCCTTCAGTGGGGTCATTTACGTTTATCACATTATGCATGGTCTCAAATCATGAAAATATGCTTTCATTTAGATGAGTTTTGTGCTGTTGTAAAGGATGACGTAAGTTTACGGATGTATTTTTTGTTGTTCTGAAATTAGTTTTCAAGAGTACCAAGATGTATTGTGAGATATGACAGTAAACTCTTAAGTACTTTTATTCATCAGGAGTTTCAAGGGCTATATTCCTTTATAAATTCCAAGTGTATGTCAATCAATTCTAAAATCGTTGATGTGTTTTTATGATGTTTAGAAAAAGATTAGTTCAAGTTTAGTTTGAAAATTAAGGTGAAATTACCCTCGCTAAACCAGTTTTTTTTGAAGGACATTTTAAGATTTTCAACTCGCTAATCTTAAATTTTCTTATGTGCTAATAAATATTGTAATTTTAGACTGTATGCAACTGGGAGATTTTTGTGAGATAAAATGGTATTATTTCATTTTACAAATCTAGTCCTTCTTACTTTTTTCAAATTATTTTCTGTTCAACTTGTGTTTTAAAGAATTTCATCAAGACCAATGTTTAACAAAGATAAAACACATCTGAAAAGCGATCTTGAGACATTCTTTGACGTTGATCGAATTTGCTAGCGGTAAGATAATAATGAACTCAGTTGGTTGTCAGTGAGGGAACTTGATGGTAGGATAGCAATAGTGATCACTTGAATTGTTATAGTTCGGTGGTTATACTACCCATGAGATGTATTTTCATAGTTTTCTCTGGAACTTAGTACCATCTATATTCAATTTCGCTCCCAGTCATTCAGTGGATAAGGCGATAAATGTTTGTATATTTCACCAACTTTTGTATTTATTTTTGCGTTGCTAAACTTTAAGAAATGTAGCAATATAACCCTATTCATCTGCTGATCACTACATGTCTTAGCTGTATTGGGTGAATACCTAACATATTGAATACAATCATACCCTTATTCTCTACATTTATCGTAAGTTTTTTTTCTGAACGTATCGTTCAAACTAGATGTTTTATGAATTAAGAGTGAATTTCTATAGACCTCTAAATAATACAAACAGGGTTAACACAAGCAACGGCATAAACATTATACTGGTCACACAGGAAATGGCTATCGTGACTCGGTGGTCTAGTGGAAAACTCCCTGGCGTTTGAAGCGATCGGTCCTGAGTTCGAGTTCTAGTGAGAGCAACATTGCTCACAGGAAGACAGTTACATCCAATAGATGAGTCCCAAACAGAACAAAACGCGCGTCCTGGATCCCACTGTTAACCACTATCTATCATTAATATATAAATCTATAAATAGTCTATTTGTGCTTGCACCTACTGATAAAGATTTTCTACAAGACCCGCGTTTTATAGCTTAGTCAGTTGAGCACTGACTTAGTAATTCGGGGACCACTCGTTTGCATCCTACCACTATCCAGATTTTGATTCTTCCTTCAATCACTGCCTCATACTGTTAATACCAGTCTGTCAACTGACAGGTATCTGGATGTAAATGCAATCAAATATTTTACTTTTTGTGAATTTGTTTCTTAACTTCGACTTATTTTGCAAAATAACATGAATTCATTTCACTTCACAGCACTTTATTAGCTGTAAGAGCCAACAGTTTTTATGAATATGTAAACTGTTTTTACAAAACAATAAGAAGACGTAAATTGTCTGAACCGTGTAATGTATTTGCGCAACACATTTCGAACTATCTGATCACACACGTACTTGTCACAGGTATTTATATAAAAACTCATGAAGATAAGGGGTGAGAAAATAAAAAGGGGTCAGGTAGGAAGGCTGACGTAAAGGCCGAATAACAATGAAAATCAATAGAGCGAAAAAAATAATAGTACATCGAACTTGGTTTTTCAATAGTTGAATTTACCAAGGAAGATTTAATGCGACAACAAATTGTTTATGAATACATAAAGGTGGTTTCAACTTCCTAATAGCTAAGGCTTCAACAAATTTCAGGATCCCTCCCCAACGTGTTTTGTAAATAGGTGTAAAGGAAGTAGCCACATCAATCTTGTGACCTGTCTCAACGATATGTTTGGCGATCGAAGAAGATAGCTATTGGGAAGTTGAAACCACCTTTATGTGTTCAAAAACAATTTGTTGTCGCATTAAATCTTCCTTGGTAAATTCAACTATTGAAAACCAAGTTCGATGTACTATTATTTTTTCGCTCTATTGATTTTCATTGTTATTCGGCCTTTACGTCAGCCTTCCTACCTGACCCCTTTTTATTTTCTCACCCCTTATCTTCATGAGTTTTTATATAAATACCTGTGACAAGTACGTGTGTGATCAGATAGTTCGAAATGTGTTGCGCAAATACATTACATGGTTCAGACAATTTACGTCTTCTTATTGTTTTGTCGAAGTTTATAAAGGGAACTAACTATTTTAAACTGTTTTTAGGCTCAAACGAACTTCGAAATGTACCGTTTTGAAGTCTAGATACATCTGAGCCATTATCGTCTATTTTTTTTAAGATGCTACTTCAATTAAGAAACCTTTGCTACTTTGCACATTGCATTCCACCAGTAGAAAACTTAATGAATAATTACGTTCAGAGTGATTTCGCCCTTTTGATCCAGTGGTATGATAGGCGTTTTGCACTTCATTTATTTCTAGAAGTATTTGCATTTTATTAATTATTTACTCATCGTTCATAATGGGTCTTTTTTACTTTCAATCTGTTGCAGCTGAGATGCTGTAAAAGTGTTTTCTACTAATCATGTCTCGGTCTTGTACGGTTACTTGAGTTGAATTAGTCAGTTAGTAGGTGAATGTTATAGTTTATTAATTTAGGTGATAAGTTCAGCTATCGTATTATGACTTCACTTCAACTGCATTCACTTCAATATGTTAGCATGAAAGTGTGGTTCATTCTCATACAGTAGTTATAACTTACAGTCAGGTGTACAAAAAAATTCCACGTGGTTTCGGACATGAATTTCTGTTTACGTTTTGTACTGTCTTTCAGTGTAGTACGTTTCCTGACAGTTATGTTTCACACTTTATCTTAAAATTTCAGAAAGTTAAATCATCCTCCTGCCCTCAGATTATGCTTAAGTTTAAGTTTGCTTGCCGAAAACTGGCCAAACGTTTCTATAGAACATGTGTTGAACACCATATATTTTTTAAGTAAGTCTTTTCACTCTACTTTCAAATTCATGAAGCGTGCTGACTTTGCTTTTGAAAAGGTAGTTTACGAATTTACGAATCAGTGCAATTCATTCTGCGGAGTGTTTTGTCTGACAATAAGATAATATTTCATGTAAGGTAAAACTTATTACTTCACTTAACAGTGTAGAGTTTTCCACATTATGCTCTCATTTTGCTTCGAATCTATTAGTGGCATATTCAGATACAATGGAATTTGAACGCCTAATAGAGAGTAAAATCTCTACCAATTTTCAATTAATTTGGGATTTAATTTTAACCAAATTGCAATTACTTTCTCAAAAGTAATTCCATGTGACAAGTCATCATGACTTTCGAAGCCAATCTAAATACAGCTTACTCATCTGGGGTCAACTAATCAGATTCCAACAAATAATTGTTCTTGTCCTATAGGAATGTCTCTTGGGTACACAAAAGCATCGTCTTCTAAACAAAGGAATCAGCCAATCATTTTTCATTCCCAACTTTTTCTCCACCCTTAATAAATTTTCATCACATAAAATGGGCAAAATTTGTGAGCGTCGCTCAAAAGAGCATAGAAACTAAATGAAGATGATCAATTTGAAGCAGTTAGTTCCCCTTAGTGAATTTCGATTAAATATGAAAAAGACGTAACTTGTCTGAATAACGATTTGAATAACATGACAAAATATTAGTGAGTGAGTTGTAGTCAAAGTAGGTATGGAAAGGAGTAGTCCTTAATATACGGGAAGGGAACGGATAGCGAGAGTTAGGAGGTGGGGAAGTTTAGAAACGCTCAAGATTAAGATCATGAAACGGGCAAGGATTGAAAAGTTTTTCGTATGCAAAGCTATCACTTTTTTATCTGAATTGCTAAAGCTTCAGGAATGCAAAGGGGCGGATAAGTTTTTTTAACCTAGTAAATAACTTCGAAAGAGGTTGTTGTTAATAGTGAATGATAAGTATCACACTTCTTATAGATCCACCGTTACCTATTTGTAGCCAAGCAACAGTTAAGTAGAATCAACCTTAATGGGCCAGTCTCGGACAAAACATCTGTACGGCCTAAAACATGGCATCACTGCATGACGTCTTTGTTGATTTCAAAAATATGACTCAGAATCGATGTCAGTTATTTCCTACTTCATTTAACTCCATAGAAACAGGTGAACCGATATATACCCACAGAGATGACCAGATGCGAGGTCTTGTTCTTCAGGCTTTTGTCAAATTAAAGAATATTACTCTGTGAGTTGTTGCGAAGAGATCACTTTTCAGGGAACTTGAAGTTCTTTTGTTTAGGAATTCAACAACTAGATCACATTTCGCTGTGTAAGTTACAGCTGAATGAGCAAAATATTCTGAACAGGCTGGATTGAATTGGAATATACTTTGATAATGATTAAAAGAGACTCAGCTCTTAAATTGTTCTAGTAATTTCGTCATAAATATGGTCCGGATGGTTTTTAACTTTATCTAACTTCATGCTTTAAGTTAAATAAACACTATACCTTCATGATAATGGAAAATTGTCATGCTCACTTTCTTTTATTTATATAGTGAATATTGACGCTTCGAATCGAAAAAGCAGTAACATCTTATGAAGCATATCAGAAGTAAATGAAAATATGTGCTTGTTCATGAACAGCTAATAATCGTTACAACTTTCAAGACCATTAATTCCGACTTACTCATGAACATGTCTTTTTATACACACCTTCAACAATATCGAACAAGATACCTACGTAATTGAGACACGTTTTAGTACGCTCGCAGTTGATGTACAGCACGTTGTTTTACTGATGTTACACATCCAGTAGACAATCATAATTTCATGTACTGCTAAGAAAATTGGTGTACAGGAAACTCTTGTTTACATCACTTCAACAGATATCGGTCCATTAATAATAACGAAATCAGCGAGATGAAATTGTATATTTTCAAGTTTGTCATTGTTGATAAAAGTTACAAATTTTTATTCCCTTCATTTGTGACTTGAAAGGGACCCGGCATCCAGCTACTGCATCTTTTGGGAGAAAGCCATATCTAGAAAATTATGCACGGAAATATTTTTATTGAAAAGAACGAAAGAAGTCATTTAAATCACATTTGTGATCTCCCTGAGAAGGGCCTTTTTATGGTTTACTGATTCTGAATTCCAGTTTTAGGATCAGCAATCATCTGTAATCTTTGCCCTTAACTCTATTCAGTCAGTTACTTCCTACCTCCTTGGTTAATAGTTCTTTCAATAGATTAAAACGAATTTCACAACAGTATAGTTGCTGGAACCAAATTTGACATTATTTTTTGTCATGACTGTATGTCCAACGAGATTTCAGCTTTATATCGAAACTTTTTTCCTTATTCCCCCTCTAAATTTACCATGAACTTCAATTGATGAATGATTAGTTGTACAGTTGAACGGAAAGTGTTGCTTTTCTTTTTCTTTTTGTAGGCTGCATCAAAGACACTTCCTAAATTCAAATGCTAATAGGCTAAGACCTTGTAAACCTCAGACTCTTATTCTTCATTTACGCCAGAAACTTCAAATAAATGATGAAATAAATCCCTCAGTGTCTATAAATGGTCCTTGTAGTATCGAACAGTTATCTGTATGCAATTTGCAATCGCCGAGGTTACCAGCCACTCCTACACGATCGGAATCTGAGATAGGTATGTTACGGCAATACTTTTAGAGTTCTTCGTATCTGTTAACTGTTTTTCACGTTGTCGGTGACTAGTTATATGTCGCGGTTCTCACTTGTTCACAGTATCACCAGCAAGGTGTGATTGGTACTTATTAGAACTAATAAGTTTTATATGATCTTAACTTGGTTTGTTGAGTACCTAAGTTAGTTCAGTTCTCTTGTTACTGTTCCACTTTGTTCTTACCATTCACTTTTCCGTAGTTGTAACTGTAGTGTTAACTGCACCATTAATAATGGAAGTAAATTACGTGGTTTGAAACTTTAGATGGAGTTTAAGTTTCCTCAAGTTAACGCATCTCCGTCATACCATATTTCATTTCTCTAAAATTCAAATTACCCTTCGCATGGCATTTACTTCAGTATTGAGTGTCATTCGTTTTCCAAATCCTTTCGAGTCGTCTTTTTTCTAATGAGTGCATTCAGGTTTCTAGTGTGTCACCGAACAAAGAGATAGTGATGAAGAAAATTTTCTTTTCGGCATTTTCACTTACTAAAACTGTACAATCTTACTTATGAGTATCGGAAACAAAATTTCTGATCAGTAGGGTCATTTAATTGCGACAAGTTTCAAAAGTAGTGTAAAGATCTGAGGAGGTCACTACTCTGGACATGGCAAAGCTAATGACTGTACTTGTTACCTTTGTACACAAAGATTAGGTTTAAGCTTGAATTTATTAAGTGTTTACTCTGTTATCATATACTTTTGGGCAAGAATGCACGGTGGCAATGTATCCCATACCATTGTATTCGGTTTGTTATATTTGAAGGTTTACACTGAAAGATTTGTACGTGTACTGTTATTATAATTGAATTATGAGTTAATTAACCCTCACTTAGTATTCACTCCAGTTAGTACTACAGAATACAGCTAGGTGAACAAGTAATTGTAATAAGTACATTTCACACAGGCCCACGGAACAGTTCGCCAGACATTTCCAAAAACATTTCTTTCAAACTGTTTCAAAGACAGTTTACTCAACCTCAGTCACATAGAAATAAATATCTATACTCATGCTAATATAATTACTTTTGTGTGCTTTAGATTTATACTACTAATAAAAGCTACAGTACAACAGTAACCAATGAGAACAATGTTGGTCACAACCAACAGTAGGCCCCATGAGTTGCTCTAAAGACGGCCACCTTGACAACAAGTGAAACAACCAATTAGACCTCTTTATTTAATAAAAATTTGCCTTTCCCGTCAAAATAATTAAGCCCAATTGGTAATTCCAGTCATTGTTAGGGTGAGCTTTAGAGTCAATGTAACCTCATACGCGCATCATATGTGTCTCGAGACACTGACAAATCCCAGTAATCTCCGAGTTTGTTAGTCGGGATCGCATTGAAAAGATTGGAAAATGGTCTTCTGTTTATCAGTTTAGATTGGAGTTTGTTGAGAAGATTATCTGCCAAGCATCTCAAACCACGGTTGGTACAAGCACACAAGAATCGTTTTAGTAAGCCTTATACACTAAATATGGCCTACTCATACACATGGTTATCCCTTTTAATTCTTCCATCTTCGCATATGTATATTGATTATAACTTTCTATAATTTTTATACTAAAAGTCCTTTGTTATTCCACTTTGTTTGTCTTAGGTGATCCTTTGCCTTCATCAAATAAGGAAACAAATCATGAATTTCCAGAATTTTCCACACAATCCGTGTATCTTTCACTAGTGGATTCAAAGTGTCAAACAAGCCTATATCCTCTTAAAGTAGGCCTCAGTTTTCATGTTTTCATATATTTAAATGTGATCAAACCTTTCTAAATGATGTATCATTTTGAATGGCTAGTTTATGCTTAAATCACACGTTAAATAATAATTTTTCGTATTTTTGTGCCACAAGTTCATATACAGCAGTCGTATGTAAGGAACAATCTTTTTTCAACCAACAAGGGCGGTTAGCTTTAAGTGACTATGGTATATGTTTGAATTTAGTGTTTCTGTCTTCGTTTTTGGATGCAATGAAAACAGTTAACAAGATAGCAAGATAGATGTAGCGACTGCAGTTCTATTCCATATATTTAGTCAGGCTTTTCTAGTCATAAATGGGATGATATTTCTGAAAAATGCCCAAGAGATAGGGATCAGAAAGAAAATGATGAACAAATATTATGCATCTTCTACAATAAGTTTTTTCCACTAAAACAGCAATGACGAGATAGCAGTGTGTTTGCAACAAGATCTAAGGGTCCTAGATTCAATTTGTCACTGGAACGGATGTGCCCACTGCTAAGGAGTCCCAAACTTGGAAGAAACAAACCTACACCGTTCCCAGGTTTTCAGTAGTTTGCTTGCTGACAGTCCGTGATGAAAACTACCCGTTAAACAACATGCGTCTGATAAGGTGATTGTTGTATGGTATGGCAGATCATTTTTATGTACTGGGGAACGAAGCACATCTAATTAGCGTGAGGTTAATGATATTACCTAGTTGCTAAATTTCGGTAGATAGGTGTTGGTAAATTCCAGAAACCTCACTATATGACAGGTAGTTTTACTTTATTCTTGTATAATTTCACTTTATCAATTTTTGCCTGTAATGCGATTTATTCAACTTCGTTATTCGCACGACGAATCAATCTAATGACGACAAGATTACTTAAGTTCCCTTATTGAGTAGTTTCATTGATACACTGAGAGATAATATGAGTATCGTTTACCTTTCGTCTTTTGTTGTCTATCATCCCAGTTGCTAATAAATTCGTTCATTCTTGCCATTCTATATGCTAGTTATTAATCGTGATATCTGGATCAGAAAACCACTTGGGATCGATCACATTACAACAATATTGTTTCATTAAATCGTAGTAGGACCATTGGTTCTAGTTAGAGCTTGTGCGATAAACTGAGTATGGTAATTGTCCTACTGCACAACACTGAAGAACAGGCCTTCTGACCAACTAACTGAAATTAATATTTAATAATGAAAAAAACATTGATTTATGCATAAAGACTTTACCAAAATGAAACTACTGTGAACTGATTATCAGGCCAAAAAATCAAAGGTCACTAACTGGTCAATTACCATATTGTGGCATTTATACTCAATATCTCAGTGCTCATTTTGTTGAATTTTGAAGTTTTACTTGATTATCTGATTTATTATTATTTGGTTAATAAGTTTTGATTTGCATTTTTGTTGTTGATTTTTATGTTCAGAAGATATACTCAAATGCTCATCTGGTACCATCTACTTCCAGTACATCAACAACAAGAAATGCTTCATGTTTACATCTGGACACTCATTCAGTTGTTCATGTCGCCAGCCCAGTTGAATGTTCCAGCCGCTTAAATATTTTAAATGCCACTGATAAAAATGATGACTGCAAATATGCAACAGTTCAACTATGTGACGTTGTACAGATTCCAGATGATTCAACTTCAGATCCAGTTTGTTGCGTACATCAAGCTACTTCGAATTCAGCTGACGTACACTTTTCATTCAATTCAGATGATGAGTATGTTTTTGGGGAAATTCGCAGCATTATTTATACGCAATAGAAATGTATTTATTGCACTCTCTAAATGATAACTAGCATTCAGAATATATAAAGCATTTCTACAATACACTGATTAGTTATTTGGAAGTAACCAATTTCATATTGTCGTGTCTGAAGTACTAACCGACTTTTGTTGACGGGGTTCATAATGTAGTTGTCATGCTATTGTTAGATATCCGAGGATAATCCACACCGTTTTCGAAAACACACCCAAAGAGTGTGTCTGCAACTTTCGTAGGTGTTAGGTTGTAGATGCATCTTGCTGACGAGTGCTGAAAGGCATCAAACTTAGGTCCAGGGCTTCCCGCCTGTTGCCTCCGTCTAACTATTATCTCGTTCAGTGCATCGTGATGGTGAGTCTGCCAGCCTAGTGACCACATTGCGAAATGATCTACGAACTTTGACCAGTACTTAGGACCGGACAACATGAAGCTGGTTACCCCTAATGACTTATATATATATATATATATATATATATATATATATATATATTCTGTAGCTAAGGCGGTAAGATAAATGATCCTCCACTACTGAACCAGGTTAAACGTTAGTGTGCAGTGATTTTGTGTTTCTTCTCTTTTTGCTACTGAATGGGTGAGGGGAACCACTAAAGTAATTAAGGCTTGGTAATAGAATTTTACATAGTATTGAAATTTATCCATGTTTTATTTACTCAGAAGTTAGTCAGTTTCCTTCATATTCGGATAGAAAATTTTATCTTTTCCATTTTTAGTGTTGTTACTGATACACTAAGCATGTCACCGGAAAATCCTGGATGCGAACGGTCTTCTGATAGAGTCGATCAAAGTATATTGGATTGCAGAAATCATGTGTCATCAGATTCAGTTTCTATAAATTGTGCCTTAACAAATATACCTGAAGTATGTCTGTTTAATGATTTAGTTTCGTGTTCATCCACTTCACAAAATGTTTTAACTGTTTTTCCACAGGTTAGTCTAGTGAAATAATTTTTGAGAATTTTTTAAAATCACTTCTCTTGAACAGTAAATGTTGAAGTTGTTTAACTTACATACCTAACGGCTAGGTATGCGAATTAGGCTTCTCCCTTAGATGGTGTCTATGGACACGAATTAATTGTAATATTATTTTTCACTTGGTAGTTATTTTAGAAACTTAATTCATCAAACAGTCATCACAGTTGTTAATAAATATACAGTTGATCAAATTTACTTCTGTATATGTTCTTTTCAGCAGTTTGTATTTATGTAGTTTCTGCATTAGTTTGGCGCGTTTGGTTGTTAACCGCAAGTTTGATAGTTAGAGTTTTTCCGGGGATGATGAGGATTTCCTGACAGGCAGATCCTACTTTAACTTGGTAGTCTTACTCGCATATCACAATGACACGACTATTTTAGTTAAAATACTTGTTCCATTGAGGTTTTACCATCCGAGAAAGGTCTGTTGGGTAGCGGTAAAACGAAAAGCACTTGCCATTACAGTCCAAATTGCTACATTGTGATGGGGATTCAATGGTGGATTTGTACTACTGATTAGACGGGATGTAACACCAGTAAGATGTTTTTCACTGATGACCAGCATTCTATGTTGATACCGCTTTACTTATGGTATGATAAGGTTAACAAAGGTTGGCCTCAAAAATATCACACTTTTCCATGCTCTACGGTTTTCTGACTCTGATGATATACATAGTCTAGCTGGATGCGAATCAATGAGATCTGAATCTTTAGTTTTCGAAAAGACTGCATTTCACAAACCTTCAGCGAATGCCCGCAGGCTCTGCGGTCACATACCACTATTACCAAACTATCTGTTCTTTAAGCACCTTGAGAAGACGTAATCTTCCATGGTGTGGGCAGTCAGAAAGTGTCAGTCACCCTCACGACTCCATGGACTCTCAGGCTTCTTGTGATCATTATCAACTGTTAATAACTTTGCCGTCTAATATTTTCTTGTGTCTTTCCATCTGTATTCTTACTTTCTTTGATTTGTTCCATCCAAGCAGTCCTTGTTTACTCTGTGAGTCCCCTGGTTTTCTGAAATCGCCTCTCCAAAATACACGTAGGAGCTTTCAATGTCGTCACTCCGTCAAATCAGATTCAGAGCTTCACTTGCCGGAACTCTAGCATCTGAAGTCGTGAACTTGTCTCTTGTTTGTGAGAGACATGCCTAGTGTCAGTATAGTAAATCTGAAAAATTTGCTCTTCGAATTTCTAGAGAATCGATAGATAACTATCATGATCTCGAAAAAATAGATGTAGTATTATTGTACGAAAGTAGGCTGCTCAACTGAATAAGCACTACAACCTTCATCGGTTTTTGATTTATTTGCTTGAAGAAGTGATTAAAGTATATTGTAATAGGATAAAGGAAAATGAAACGAAATTTACATGAGATTACAAATGTAGATGATTGCGATATTTAACAACTGAAATCAAATTTAAACTCAGTCAACATGAGTTATTTACAGATTAGTTGTTATAGGAATGGAGTGATAGGTTGGGTCTCTTCCGTTTTTGATCTGACGTTTAGTCTGGTTCCCTTTCAACTTCAATCTGCATTGTTTTATTTTTGTCGCATTTAGTTTCATCATAATATGTATAATTTCATTAATTCACATTGTATCATTTACTTTTTTCTACATACTCTCTACATTATGGTTACTGTTTGTAAGATTTGATGTTATGCATTATGGGAGCACCGTGATATTTGCATGTATTTTGACAGACGTACTATTATCTCACGTTTTTATTTTATTTAAATACTAACTAACAAAAGGATGACATCAGTTCACTTTACTCTCAGTAACATTTAATGGTGATGATAATTCAGTATATGCAGGTATGAAACTCATTTTCGAGTAAATGTCAGGAAATTGGAAGTTATACGTCTGTATTCACAACAGCTTGGTTCTTTTTATCAGTTTGAGGCTCAGGAATTGCTATACTGATTTCTATATCTTGATAATGTTGCCCTGTATCAATATCAGGTATACAAACTAAAACGAAGTCGTACTTTATGAAACTGTTCATTTCCTATTGTCTTACAAATCAGTCGATTTTCGAGTGTTGGTTTTGTCATTAACTGGAGAACATTCATATTCATTTTCATCAGTGATGTTTTTAAAAACAAGCTCAAAGTCTTAAGGATAGCTAAGTTTCTCTTGCTTATTTCCAATATTCTCTTTACGTAGAAATTTATCTCGACATCAAGCTTCATGTCTCTGTAATTTATGCATTGGATTAAGCTTTTGATTTCAAAAAGAAACTGGTTACGACATTAACTACTTATAAGTAGCTTAACTCTTTAGCGATAATGTTTCGATGACTCCAGAAACTAATCACAGATTTTTTGGGTGCAAAATGTATGTTGGAGACTGAAAATAAGCCTATTTAGATTTTATGATCTTACATTTACGAAATTTCGAATATCCTAGTCATTGAGCCACACAGTTCTTTACATAACTCAGGCAAACAAACAGTGGCTGTTCAGGTTGGTGGTTTATTGTGACACTACTGAAGAGTTTCGTAGAATAAATTATGATACTTAAAAAAATAAAAGTTATTTAATAGAAAGAAGCCTGAGATTTTGCCATGATAAGTGAATGGGAATTTTGATATGACTGCCCAAGTTGAGAAAGAAAGAGAAAGCGAAAGAAAGTCATTTTTGCATTTATCTAAGTTGTTTACGGAAAACCACTTCGGGACTGTCGCATGTTTTAACATTGCTGTACAAATGTTAAGTGCAACACTCAACTTTTGTTTTAGCTGGAAGATGTGACTACATTTTTGTTTTCCTATAAATATCAAGGTGTTGATAACTTTTTGTCAATATCCGCTACATTTGTTTTTAACAGATGAATAATCCTATTGTTACTAATATTTAGGTTAAACCAGTTAAACCTACGGGTGCACCATGGTGTAATGTCTTCTCATTTATTGATATCAGTTCGCTAGATAAAATAATTGCACCATCATATTCATCACTTATTTCTTCGGATGGGCAAATTATTCGTTTAACACCAGCATCAAATGATACCGTTTGTGTAAACTCTTCAATATCCTCTCAACTTCCATGTGATTTTGTCCAGTTAAATTCAAATGAAAAACAGGTAGTTATTTTTAAAAAATATTCTCGCCTATTCTTTTCAGAACAGTTTTTATGTTTGGCTGATTTATTAGATTTCACATACAGCAAAACAGTATTAGGTGCTGGATTACGTTTCGTTTTACCATAGTGTCCAAGTTTTACTCTTATATTGATTGACATCTAATATATTTGTGTTTGTTATTTGTGAAAAGTAGTAGTTCTGCTATGAGACTTCTAGTTCAACATTTACTTTTGATGCATTTTATCTTGGATAACAGTCTAATGGATAATGCGCTATCAACCTGTGCACTTCCATAGTGTTTAAATAGGTAGCATGAAAAGGTTACTGAAATAACTTTTCGTGCTCACATGGTATCATTAGGGTTCCAAAATATTAGATAATGAGTAGTTTTAAGCTATAACGTCTTAAGCATTTCAACGAAGTCAGTTGATAAAGCTTTACTTTGAGTCTAAGTATAGAATCTCTAGAAATGTACAAATCTTTATGTAAGACTTCATGGCACATGAACCGAAAATCCGTAATAATTCATGAAGCTTTTGCTTTTAACTTTTTCACCTAGAGTGCTGAAATGGAATTATGATGAAATAGGTTGTGCTTCAAATTTAGTCAAATGCATCTCATTGTGTTACCTTTTTGATCTAATATACTTTCTTATTGGAATGCACGTTGATTCAGTGAATTATGAACACATTTTATTTGAATTACATTCATCTCTTGTGAGATGTATATTAGACATTTATCGGTTATTTGTTCATATCCTATTAAGAAATACACAGCACTGAATTCTTGTCCTCTTTCATACTTATAGATAGTATTGATAGTGTTAGTAGGGTGTGTATACCACAGTTTCAAAACACTGATTAGGTTTCCTATCGATCCTTAGGATTACTAATGGTTGGGAGTGGAATCAAGATAGCATATTTCGTCCCACTTGATATTCGTCAAGATATGCCTACCTCTTTTCACCGAGACTCAAAAGAATCTTGCACAAACAATTACTGATCATTTTGGTTCAGATCAACCAATAAAAATCTGAAATATCGAGTCGAAATATTATCGTGATACTGTTTGTTAGTGTTTATTCACTACTCCACATTTCGCTAACCTTTTGGTACCTCTACTTGCATATTATCGTCTAGTCAATGCATTGTTTGGATAGGTAATATCTGGCAAATCTTGTATGGTTGACACATGCGAAAATAAATGGCATCTTGTTTCTGTTTATCCTCCTATTTCGTGCTTATTATTATTTGTCCCGTGGGTTCCTAGTGGGATATAGGGCTTCGTTACTACTTCTGTTCTCTGTAGTCTTTTGAACCTGGGTCCCCGACTGCCCAGAGGCTTTCATTTCTTCCTCACATGATCTCCTCCATGTGACTCTCGGACGCTTAAAAGACACTATGTGGTCGGTTTTAGAATTAAAAGTTTTATGAAGGACGAAAATTTTAGCTTATACGAGTTCTCGTTAAAGTTTTGTCAGATCCAGCTTTTAGCTACAGTATTTTTACAGTAAAAGAATACAAACACCGATTGATTGCATTAATTTGAAGGACGATACTTCAAAAAATATTTAGTTGGATTTTAAGACTAGCTGTTTATCATTTCACTTTATTTTACAATTTTTCAGGGTATAATGAACACATTAAAATAATTAGAAAAAGTTAAAATGCAGATTTACTAATATCATACACATATGCACAAAAGCACAAGCATTTCTTTTTAGCATTTTATAAGTGAAACACAAGATATCCAAGATAGTATAGGGCTATGAAAGAACTAGGTCATGTGGTAGTTCATCTTTTTCTAATTTTGATATAAACTAGTCAGGAAGTATGAGTTGAAGTTAGGAACTGATTGCTACTCCATCGTTGAAACGAAATTAGACTTTCATAGCACAACATGGGATCATTTCATTTTGAAACAACTTGGCAGTAAACCAGTTTACAATTCATTTCCCATAATCATTTCACATGTGTATTCATCAGATCCCAGTAATGGGATGCTTGTAATTAATGAAGTGACATCTAGAGACAGCATCATTTTAGCATGTCTGTTTTTCTTCTGAATTAAATCCACGAACTCAAGGATGTTTTTACAGTTGAATTTACAGGAAATCTTTATCAGTAATTTAGTAGTTGAAAAAGCCATTTTGCTATATCGCAGTTTTGTTTTAGTGCTATTCCATCTTTTTGAACTTTAGGATGATCCAAGAACCTGGAAATGTTAGTTTACTCCTGGTCTTTTTTTATAATTAGCGTGTTTGAACGCTACACTAGTAGTCAGTGGTTACTACTTGCATGAATCTGATTGTTAGCTATGCATCTTTTCAACTTTCATTATCATTATTGTTAACCATATTGCATGTTTTTTCCTTTCAAATAAAACTGTACAGATACAATATCTCCCTATACCAATAGTTCGAACACGTGCTGTTCGTTTCATTTATGATGCATCACTTCAAATCAATGAATATAAGACATTTAGTAATCACTCACAAATCCATCTGGTATGCGGTGTTAATATCCCATTAGTTCCAACTAAGTCTTTTTATCATTATTAATTAATTATTTGATGGATAATACGATAATCTTTTCTGATGCTTTCAATGCATACTCATGTTGATGTTGTTTTACTGTTTGCTTCTTTTAATGTATTTGTATATTCACTATTATTAATATTATTTTTATCAGTGTTATGAAGCGTTTCTGTCATTTGTGAAGCGTATTTCTATTTCATTCACTACCTTTTCATGGCTCAAGATTAATTTTGTATGAGGTATATGATAATAAGGAAAATACGAAAGAAAATCTGTAAAGTGAAGTATTTTTTTTTGTTTTTCCTACTAGTTTTCTTTTCGATTTCATGATTTTGTTTTAATTTTCATTTACAGTACAGGGATGTTTGTGTGACAATGTTCTTCAATCTGTTTTAATTTTGCTGTTCTAACTTATTATTAGTGCAGTATTATTCGAATGTCTTTCGTGATATCTACCATATTAGAATAGATGAGAGAAATGTTTGGGATGTTCTCAATGAATGTCTGATTTTCGTATACTTTTGACACTAAAATCTAACAACGTCGACAAGTTGTAAATAGAAAACGTGATTGTTTGGCTTCTGTTTTACGTGGCTCATGAGTCAGTTTTAAGTTTGACATTGTGAATCGCACCTGTTATATGACTACGAGCTGTACGGAGATGACCAGAGAAGGAATCTCACTTAATGCATTCCAGAAAGCGATCAGTTAGGGAAGTCAGTATCAACATGTTGCCGGGAGATACTTCAAAATGGTCTAAGGTGCTACTGCTTACGTCAGCTGGTCAAGCCAGAAGATAACAAAAAAGATAGAGAAACAGGACAAAATATTACTGAAAGTCGTAGAAAGTCATCTGTAGGAAGGAAGAGGAGTTGAATGGAATTCGAGTGAATGAAATTTCCTATAATGGTGATGATATATTGATTAATCTGAGCCACTGAAATCCATTCTGAGCCGAACAGCTTCGAATTTCAAACCACTGATTTTCATTGTCATGCGAACACCGACCGGGAAATCTACCCTCCTCTGCGCGGCTCGCTCCAACAGTCATAAATTTTGTGGACTGATAGTATGTTTTAGTTTAGCCACCAGCGTGAACCTGCTGTTTTGCCATTGCGCGACGATGAAAATGGTGACTAGACATGTGTAACATTTATTCTACCCACCTGCGTCAATAGAAGATCGAAATCACACTTACTAAAATAACTTTTTCCTCTAGGATTCTACTTTACTGACGTGGTGCTCCCGTGATACGTTAGTGCTAAAAAGGCAACGGTGATCGAATACTTTGAGCCTCCCACTACCCACCTCTGAACGTCACTTTTCACGATGCGCTTTGATTTTTCTTAATTTTTTGATGGCAAGAGAGCCATAATGGGATCGCCCTTGGTTTGATTTTGCGTTAGGAAAGGTCGACTAAAATGTTTTCTTCAGTGGGTCCATCCAGAGTTCTATGTGTTTGTCTCAGAAACATTTCTCCTGATACCAGGTTTCTTGTTGCCGATAGTTTAGATGAATGGAAGCAAACGTTTTTACATCGTAGGTGATATATGGTAAATTTCAGCACAAGTTAATAATGAAACACTATTCATTTTGCAAATAGATATGTTATGATAAATTTTTACTTACAGTATGCAAATATTCGATTATTTTAGTACCCTGATAGCTGTTGAGACACTTTTCTTTCTGAAATCACTAAGATGAAATCAAAGAAACTAATATAGACAGACATTTTTTTACTGATTTATTTGAGACAGAGAAATAAAAACATTTCTCTGTCCAAATCGAAAAATTTCAAAATTATAATGACCGTGAAATCTGTTTACGATTAAGGGAGATCATGTGATCTATTCATTTGATTGATTTTAGTTTATACTTGTTACAAGGTCATTTCCAAAAAATCGTGATAAAAACTTGACCGAAAAAAGGAGTGATTTAAGTGCGACTTTGAGGACCACCCTAGCAACGATTGAAATAGCCAATTATTTCTCTCCATTTTGGCATGAATGGCAGATTTTCATGGGTTACCTTTAAGGCCACCTTAGCAACTGGTTAGGAAGCCAGTTACAATCTTGTGTTTTATGGAGAAGTACTTTCCCGGGCGAAATACCGAAGCCTGGTTGGTCATTTCAGCAGTTGCTAAGGTGACCTTTAAATTCACTCAATTTTCATGAAATAACCTCGCCTGGTTAACTAGTTTATTAGTTACTAGCCGGTCCTAAGCCCGGGTAAAGAGGGAAGGTTGGGCATAGGGCTAGCAACCCTACCCCGTAAAACAAATCTAACCGCTAAAGAAACTTCAAAGCTTAAACAAAATATAAAAAATAAAAACAAACTTATTCCCCGCTGGAATCGGAGAGGCGAAATGACGCCAGTTGATGAAAGCCTTCGGGAAGCCAATTGGCCGATGTGTCTTCTCTCGATGAAAGCGAAAGTAAACGTGGGGACATGGAATGTCCGTACGATGTTTGAACCCAGTAAGGCAGTCCAGATTGCAAAGGACATGAGGAGGTATCACATTGAAGTGCTTGGGATTTGCGAATGCAGATGGAATGGGAGTGGACTCTCCAAACTGTCAACTGGAGAGTAGTTAATAATCTACTCCGACATTGTCACCCAGACGACAACCACGAGCACACTGAGTTATGGAGTGGCTATCATGATATCCCCGAGAGCGTCGAAGGGTCTCTCTCATGCAATGGGAACCAATCTCCTCCAGGATCATGACAGCAAGATTCAGCTCAAAAGGAAGGAAGGTCACAATTATACAATGCTGCGCTGTGCACCTACAAATAATGCAGAGCAAGAGAACAAGGAGGAATTCTACAGACAATTTCAATCAACACTGGACAAGACACCGCCTCAGTTGGCGATATCAAAATTCTAATGGGCGACATAAATACCAAACTGGGAGGGGACAACACGGAAAGAGAACTAACCACGGGTCGAGAGGCGCTAGGTGAAATGAATGAGAATGGAGAATTGTTTGCAGAATTCTGTGCATTCAACGATTTGGTGATTGGAGGCAGTGTGTTCAGGCACAAAGATATCCACAAAGCGACATGGATTTCACCAGATGGACACACTAAAAATCAAATCGACTTTATTTCAATCTCAAGAAAGCGGAGATGGAGACGCAGTCTACTTAACACAAGGTCAAGAAGAGGAGCAGATGTAGGTTCAGACCACTGACTATCTGGTGCAAGGAACCTTACAAATCAAGTTGAAAGCCTTCAAGGAAGCTGGTGATAGACCTCAATTCAAGTACAACACTCGGAAACTGAAGGATGAAACTACAAAGGAGATCTTCAAGGCAGCCATCAAGACAAAATGGGAGATATCGAGGAACATCCCTGAAGAAACCTGTGTGGAAGAACACTGGAAGTCTTTGAAAACTATGTGGAAAGAAACCTGCACAACAATATTAGGAAGGAAGAAGGTGGAAGACAAGGAATGGATCTTGACGGATACCTGGAAGCTGCTAGAGGAGAGGAGGATGGTGAAGCAGAAGACAAACCAGTGCAAGGATGCTCAACGACAAGAGGAACTGAGCACAATGTATAAAACACTGGATAAAGAAGTGAAGAAGAGTGCACGGAAAGACAAAAGACGCGTCTACGAAACACTGGCAAGTGAAGCAGAACAGGCTGCTGGTAAGAGAGACCTGACAACATTGTATCAAATAACCAGGTTGCTATCAGGGAAGAGACCAACACAGATGAAACCAATAAAAGATGAAGAAGGAAATTTAATTACAAAAGAAGAGGAAACGATGGGCCGACCACTTCAAGAAGCTCTTGAATCGACCACCACCACCACCTGCACTTCGTCCACAAATACCACCTGCAGCCGCTGAACTACAAGTGAACATAAATCCCCCAACTAAAATGGAAGTCCTGAACGCCATAAAGCTACTGAAATGCGGGAAAGCAGCAGGACCAGCTGGAATACCGCCAGAAGCACTGAGAACAGATGCAGAGACAACAGCGGACATGCTCACACCACTATTGCAGAAGGTGTGGAAGGAAGAGAAGGTACCTGACGATTGGAAGAAGGGTTACCTTGTCAAACTGTCGAAGAAGGGAGACCTCAGTGCTTGCAAGAACTGGCGCGGAATCACTCTCCTGTCCACCCCAAGCAAAATATTAAGCCGCATCATCCTGGAGAGGCTTAAAAATGCACTGGATTCAAAACTGCGACCGGAACGGGCAGGCTTCAGGAAGTACAAATCATGTGCAGACCGAATTGCAACGCTTCGCATCATCATAGAACAGAGTATAGAATGGCAATCAGCTCTCTGCCTCAACTTCATCGACTTTGAGAAGGCCTTTGACAGCGTCGACTGAGAAGTAATTTGGAAACTGCTTCAATACTACGGAGTACCGCAAACCTTTATCAGCCTCATTCAACAACCATATAAAGATGCCACATGCCAAGTAATCCACAATGGGAAGCTCAGTGATGCCTTTGAAGTGAAGACAGGAGTGAAACAAGGTTGCCTATTATCCCCCATGATATTCCTTATTGTGGTGGACTGGATCGTGCAGCAAACAGTGGGGCGCGAGAAGAGGGGGATACGCTGGACTGCGGAAAAGAACCTAGAAGACTTGGATTTCGCCGATGACTTATGCCTAATGTCACATAAACTTGAAGATCTGCAGGCAAAAACTAACAAGTTGATAGAAGAGGCAGCGAAGACGGGACTTCAAGTGAATATAGAGAAGACAGAGGTGATGAAGATACCTCACCACCACCACCAACAACAAACTCCAATCACCGTCAACGGGAAAAACTTAAAGGAAGTAACCTCCTTCACTTATCTAGGAAGCACTGTTTCAACTACAAGCGGGACGGACGAGGACGTCAAAGTCAGAATCGGAAAAGCAAGACAAGCGTTCATAAGCCTGAAACCAGTGTGGAGATCTGCACTCAGCATGGAGCGTGAACAAGATCCGGATTTTCAACACCAACGTCAAGTCAGTGCTCTTGTATGGCTCAGAGACTTGGCGCGTCACGAAAGGGATTTCCAATAAACTACAGACATTCATCAACAACTGCTTACGCTCGCTACTGAAGATCAGATGGCCAGAATAATAAGAATAAGCAACAAGGAACTCTGGGATTGAACCAACCAAGAACCTATCATGCAACAAATATGCAGGAAGAAGTGGAGATGGATTGGCCATGCACTGAGAAGGCCGACTGAGGACATCACGCGTCAGGCCCTCGAGTGGAATCCCCATGGGAAGCGACGAGTTGGACGTCCGAGGGTGACATGGAGGAGGTCGTGCGAGGAGGAAATGAGAGCTTGTGGGCTGTCGTGGGACCAGGTTCAAAAGATATCAGAGAACAGAATTCACTGGAGGCGTGCTACTGAAGCCCTATGTTCCACTAGGAACCCAAGGGACTAATAATAATAATAAATTTTCATGAAATAAAATAGTTTAATTGGTTATTTCAGTTGTGTCTAGGGTGGCATTTAAAGCCACTTGACTAAAACAACCAATCAGGTTCCTTTACGTAGATTGGACGTACGGAATTTTATTTGGTTAGTTACATGGTCGTTAGTGTGGTGTTTGCCGTCACTCAAACTTACAGTTGCCATTTTCTGTATTTATAGGAGCAGCTTTAAAGGCCGCTCTAGCAGCCAATTAGGTCTCTTCATTTTATGGGAAAGTACCTTTCCAGGCGAAATACAAAGCCTAATTGGTTATTTCAGTTGTTACTAGGGTGACCTTTCAAGTCACTCCTAAAGGCCGCCCTAGCAACTGTTGAGGTAACAAATTAAGCTTCTATGTTTTACGAAAAACGACATTTCTAACCGGAATACCGGTACTTGATTGGTTATTACAGCAGTTGTCAGAGTG